ACTCTGATGGATGGCGCCTGACTTGTTGCTTTGGCTTGTGATTGGTCAATAAAGCCTGTTCTTTTGTGCTGGTCTTTTTCCTATTAGGGCTCGGGTATTCTTCACACGCACCGAAAACTGAGAGCAAACTCACTCACGAGTTTTGCGTCTCCATCACAGTGCCGCGGATCGGACTAATGGGAGAACAGGACGACCTACGAAGACATATAATGGCCCTGTTTTCCCCCATGCGATTGACCAGTGTCTGGATTGATTCAGGCTTCGGTAAACTACTCCGTTTTGCCTTGCTCTCTTATTGGTCATGTAGTGGACTGACAACCACCCAACGTGAGTGTGCTTGCATGAGGGCCCAAGCGGACCAATGACTCACCGCTGTTGTTATTGGCCTCTGTCAGCATTCGTCTGTTACGCACGCGTGCTCATATGCCCACAAAGCCACTTGGCTGGTTCGACTCTAATAAACGGTCGTGTTCTCTGTCGCCTCCTTTTCTTCTCTCCTCGGGTAGTTTCGGGCCGTTAACTAGAGGGTTGTAAGGTAGTGTTAAATGCCCTAGCCACTACAGTCATTCTAAGGGGCCGAAGCCCACAGTAGCAACGTATAAGGGCGCACACATATTGGACTCAGAAAATCCTGTGTCTCTCTACGTTCCAATGGCATGAGCGAAAGATATGCAGCTGACCAGAGGAAAACACAAATGAGGAACAGTATATAATGAGTAAAGTAGCCATCGTGAAGTGTGGTTTTCGCTTGCGATTAGTCATTAAAGCCTGTTCTGTTGTATCAGTCTTCTTCGTACTAGGGCTCGCGTAATCTACCTGAATCGGACATTTTACATAACTTCAACAACTACAAATCTGAAAAGTCCGCGTTGACAGAATGTAGTGGCGTGATTTTCAAGCTAGACTACCAGTGCATAATTAATTTTTTTATAATGCCACCGCTTTCCTACATGTTAAAAAGTATAATAGTCCTTCGTCTTCTGGGCGCCTAGGCAACTTTCCTGCCAGGTGTGGGGTATAGGGGAATGCCAAAATTGATGTTACCAATCATCAGATTTGCAAGGAACAAAGTTGGAAGACGATGACAGCTATCCTCTTAAAAGGGAAGCTATATAGCGGCGTACGAATGCGAGGATACATTTGACAACTCCAAGAACGATCTACGGTCTGCTTGGCAAACTTGGATGAATAGGTCGATAAAGCCTGTACTATTGTTCCAGTCTTCTTCATAATTTGGCTTCTGTATTCTACAGTCATAAAGTAGAATCGCTGAAAATTGCTGACATATGGGATCATGCCGAGGTTGGCCAATCGACTGTCTTTGTCCTGCGAATAGCGGACGATGAAGATTAGCAGCCAACCAAGGACAAGGCTGAGTGCAATACGCTGAATTTTGTGTGATACAGATGACTCGGATTGATGGGACTTTATAGGCGGTTGTGTCTTGTGGTTCAATACAAATATTTTTTCTAAGGAACTTTGGATGTAAATCACAGCAAAAGCTCAAAGATGGAAGAACTGAACTAGCTAAGTTGGTAACGGCCCTAAGTCTTCAGTCAGGCCGCTCTTTACGTGTGAATACAGTGGCGATGAAGAAAGAGGTGCATTTTCATCGTATAGACTGCAAAGAAGGCAATGCTTTTTCGCCATACAAGGTTGGCTGCTTGCTCATGTCACTTATTAGTGCCTATGTTTTTCGTGTCGATTACCTTATGAGCATAGATTATTTAATTTCCAAATCGTTGAAAGATATGTTTGTGGCTTCTATCTACATTTTCTGCTGGCTTCCTCAGAGATTTTTCAAAGTTATGAATCGAGGGGATTGCGTTCATTATCGCGGCAGGTGTTTGACCCAATATAAGCATGATCTATATCATTTATCTTTGCATTACCAACCAAGATCTGCGTATGCCGAAATAGTTTATATGGGGTTCTATCACTAAGATTGATATCTAAAAGGAGTTTACTGATACGGGCCTCATTCTAGCTCATTGTTTGTTTTTAGGTAGTGATGTAACGCTTAAGGCTGATGCTATACCTGGCTTGGTCAAGTTAAGCCACCAGAAGCGAGCCTTCAAAGACATTCCGAACTTGTTGAATTGCACCTATTAAACGAATGCGTAAAAGTCTTTTAAGACGCTTGTGAAGAAACTGCCAATTACACTGAAGTTCGAATAAGCCGATTTAACTATCAAAATTAAAGTTCAATGTGGAAGAATTGACTTGACTATATAGTGAGTATACTAATAATTGGTTCGATATTGCTTGTGCTTGATCTAGTAAGTAAGCCGCAAATTGTAAAGTAGAAATGAGCTAATACTTCATTGACTCCAGATTTAAAATCACTAACTGAACCACGAACGAAACGAAACGGGAAAATTTTAACTTGACGTGGGCCCCAGCATGTGATCTTGGACCACGCCGGGGCCATTGATTTAACTCTGGCCCGATTGCGCTTTTTATATCCACGATAAAGAAATAGACCGCACACATCCCTGTATTACGTTATAACAATTTTGCGAATATTATGCAAATGTACAGCCAACTTCTGTGGACAGTTGTAAGATATTTTGAGACCAGGTCTAGCAAAATTCCTTCCAGGAAGACCATTTACATTATTGTGGCCTATACTAAATCAATGTTCCAACAAATAAAATAAAAATTAAGGATAGATGCAACCCTGATTTTAACAAAAAATGGCGGAAACTCGGCCTAAATATCTTTTACAAAATGTAAGTGTGAATTTAGGAATACAAAAAGGTATTATTAAACGAACACAATGACCAACGGTAAGTTCAGGTTTTCTTTTGAGCATCCAATAAATTTAAATTTGCTAGATTTATAATTAACTGGTTCATTTTAAATGTACAGGTAACAGCAATTTTAAAAGAAAAAAACGCATTAAGGAACTCTATTTGTATGAATGGTATAATTTTACTACAAAGTCATTTTCAATTTGTGAGTACAAACTTTTGCAATCTTGGAAAGTCTTTGCCAAGACAGTCCCGTAATTATGGTTGATTCATATTAATATGTGTGCTTATATTGTACGCAATCATCAAAGAGCACAATTTTAGTAAAGTACTTGCACAGATTTTTTCTTCTCTAAGTTTTTTTGCTTGTTTGAACCATCAAAGTACACTAATACCCTAACTTTCCGCTGACTCTAAAACCACCACCTGAGCGATAATTCGTAAAATTTGCAGTCCTGTATGAGCCTCTCCTATTATCGCATGGAAAACTAACACTAAAATTGGTTTTCCAATTTATATAAGAAACAAACTGTTGAGTGACCTGGAATATTGCATCAATGGCTTTTACTTGATCATATCAGGACTTCTAATTTATACCATTAATGGAAAATTTGACATCACACCCAGGTTTTATTAGCTCCGCCAGTGATGGAAGCACTTTTAATTCAGGTAATATATTAATCTTAATTTTTTAACTCTTAGTTGCAAATAAATTTGATTATGTGATATGTCCTTATGCCTCTTTTGCCTGTTGATTGCGTCATGTGCATTGTTATTTCAGTCCATTTAGATACTCAGATAAACTCATATTCCTATCTTTTTCATGCACACTGTCCTGTTGATTGATTTTCCTGATGAATATGATGGTATTTTGTGCAGCCAGAATGTTTGAATTTTCGGGAATGATTTCTAAGTGAAGAATCGGTAGATTGCGTACCTTACTGAAACAGAACAGATCGGAAAAAAGATAGACACTAGACATCTGGTTTACTGCAATTCAATATTAATATGTATATACATTTGCTTGAACCTTGGGATGTGTTAAACAGTTTTAAATTAAGATCCATTTGTTCTTCTGTTAATTTGTAGGAATAAGTATAAGGGACTCTACAAAAAGAGATCTGGTTCTTAAGATTGCAAAATTATAAATTTATATGGAATTATCTATGGGCAATTTGGTTAAGTAAAATATTTGCTGCAGGGTTGCCCCCGAACTTAGCTATGTGAAATGAAGCGACAAGATATCACCTGGTATGCTGATAGTTTAAATGATTTTCTAGTGGATTGAAGCCCCAACTGTAAACTTGAGGTATTTCCTGGCCTTTTTCTAATTAAAAGCATTATTAGAGGTACTTATATAGCTTTTAAATAATGCCATCTTTTAAAGTTAGGTGACGACGAATTAATTTGGGCACAAATGTGGAATCGGCCCGAACGGCAGAGTAGTTGCTTCAATTAACATCATTCCCGGTTTGTTATTTATACAAAATTATGTAAAGTAACGCATCCTTTGGTCTTAAGTAACGATGCTAAGCTCTCAGTTTCCTTTTAAAGACTACATTCATTCGAATTTTAGATAATTTATTTATGCTCACGGAAGCTTGAGGCATGTGGTTTTGTGTGCCAAGCATAACCAGAAAAAGTTCGTTTGATTCGCATTTCTTCACACTTAACCATTTCAAATGCAACCCGTATCCATTATTTTGCAGTGAATAATACAAGTTAGTAAATATGCCGAGTTCCTGAATAGAGCTAAAAACAAAAGTTGACAAGATTTATCCAAGGCAGTTTTTCGCTTTTGATGGACCTACTCAAATGCCTATGACAACGAGTTCCTAGCATTTATTTAAGCCATGCGTAATCACTCGATACTTTTAATTGGCGATATTCTAGGTTATTGTAATGAGTAGTAAATAAATCTTAGTAATGTTAACTGAATTACCTAGCTTGAATCCCCTATACTAACATGCTAATATGATTTATTAAATATTCATTTAAATAGAAGCTCGTTTTTGAATGCATCAGGTTCCCCTTCCTATATACCACAGCAAGAAATCGATGATACAGCATTGATTAATGGTTGTCAAAAAATTCTTATTGACGCTACTGTTTTTCTACATGAGTCATGTACCGAGAATGTGCTGTGATTCTAAATTGTGCAACCTTATGTCTACTTTAGCTGACTGCGACTCAGGTGCCCAGGATATGTTTGGCGACTCTTTGTCTCTTAATGAACTTCGAAAAGCATATCCGGAACTCTACCACTTTATGTGTAAAACAGAGTCAAATTTCGATGATGCGAATCTCACTGAAGGACAGGAAGAATTTACTTGGTCGAAAATGGAAAATTACCCGAAAGAAGAAGATCCAGATGTAGCACAAATCTTTAAGACGTCTGATTCTGTCACTTCACTTCTCACTATCCGAAAAGCAATGTCGTCTATATTTGAATGCTTGAATACTGTTCACGTTCAAAAGACATCAAAACTAAGACTTGAGATTCGAGATTTGTGTTGCCGCCTTCAAGGCCTCCAGGTAAGCCTCCGCGCCTAACTTTAAAATTTCCGAACGCAATTTGAGATTATCCAGCCATTTATGAATGATTTGACTAGTGTGGATTTATAATTTTCCCACTTTTGTTGACTACGTTAACTTGGTCATGGGATCATACGATTGCTAAGAAGTAATCTTCAAAGCAAGTGACTGAACTTAAACCTAAGTTAATGTTTTATCGTATCCTCTTTGGTCCCTTGTTAAATAACTATCGATAAGGGTATTTTGAGTGACCATTCGATCAACCCAATGAGAACGATTATCTTGACTGGCTAATTTGATATTACTGGCTAAGGGAACACTGATGACATTGGCATGAATTATATTTTCTTTTCGAAGAAAAACCTTTTAAGAAGATGCAAGCGCCTGTACTAGTCTCAATTTATTTTTCGTCAATATCAAATTTTTGTTTAGCAATATTCTTGAGCTTGCTTGTTCGATGTGATCAAATTAGCAAATTCTAAAGCATCACATTTCACTGCCATTTACAGAATATACGCATTCTGGTTGCTAAAAATGACAATGCAATAGACTATCTCATGACATTGCCCAAGTGTAGAACTTACAAGGGAGAATTTATTTACATAAACCTATGCATGTGTGTTACATTGATATGTTTTTTCAAAGAGTAAACAAAAGGCATGAAGTCTTAGGATTACAGATGCCTGCTTTGTTTTCTTGACAAAGGCAAGCCGTGAAATGGACCAGCGAGAGATTTACAGGTTGCAGCGCGAGAATGATCGCTACCGGCGGGAGCTTTCGCAGCAGGCGTCACGATATGAAGAAAGAATCACCGAGCTCCACGGCGTCTTAGCCGAGCTCAAACGGAAAGCTGCAGAAATACAAGCCCCCACCTCCATTGGCAACGGTACTGTTGGTGTTGTTGATGACTTGGCCGAATTCACTGATAGTGAGAGCGAAGCAGACAAAGCCAACGGAGTGGATGGTTTTGTCCAGTCAGATTTATCTGTTCCTTTGTCTCCACTGCAACCGACCGTTTCAGAAAACGTACTCGAACATCTGGTAAGCGTCTTCGTTCTAGGACATATCTTGCGTATTTTTGGTACATTTTATTGTTTATTTAACCGGGAACATCCTTTTATCAAAGAAGCTTGGTGAAATCCGGCATCTGAAATGCTTCATTTGGGTTCACACGATATGTAATCTCTAACACATTTTCTAGTTGTTTGCATTATTTCTTTTTAATCCACTTTTTATTAGCCCCTCTGAAATATACAAAAACTTATTGTGGATACTATCAGAGATCTGTAGAGAAGTAACTAGCAGCTGTGGTTTCAACAAGAATCAAAAGCCTGTGGCAGATAATTCATACAACATTCCATCACTCGATCATTAGTAGGCTATGCGTGAAGGCAAGTTTCCGGTCTATTGTTAATTACTTTTCATGTGCGTGTGGATTGCTTAATAGAATCCACCTTTTATCTTCAACGAAAATTTGTTGAATGAAGGGGTTTCTCCCTAACCTTGACAAAAGTGTACTGCAGATTAATACACGCTTCTCTTTTTCTTAAAAAAAACGTATGGGGATCTATATTATTTCTCACAGTGTTGTAAGCCATTTGTTTGACTATCAGATGAATTGGTTTTGATCAAATGCATTTTCACCCCTCAAAAATTCTGGTGGTCTTCCAGGTTATAAACGTTTTCCCTACTTCCTTTTTGCCGTCCCTCATGTTGTTTGTGAATTATTAAGACGAGGAAAGTCAATATAACTACAGGATTACGCAAAGACCAAGTCTTCTTCAATACTTGCGTTTATGTGACTGGTCAATCATGTGTTCGAATTTGTATAAAAAGAACGTGCAGTTCCTTCCTGTTTCGATTTTCCCCTTTTCTACCATCTCAAAATGCTCTTCATACAGCATTTACTCCCACCGACATTTTTACTGAAAGAGTTTATTTCTCCCCCATGATGGCTCCTTTTAAGGCGTTGACTAATCCAACCAGCAACTTGCGAAATGTTCTTTTTGCTCTCTTTGGGCGAGGGTCCCCAAACTACGCATTCAGCTGAAAACCGGGCTTTATTGCCTAATTTTTCCACTTGTTACGCTTTTTAAGGACGTCTATTTAATCTTTTAGAAATTCTACGCATAAATAACATTGTTTTATGTCGCCAGCATTTATTAACTTGGCAAAAAGAAGTGGTGCTGCAAAATCCACACAGCTCATATTCAAAAATTGCGCAACAAAGGGCATAATACGTTGACCATAATTTGGACGCAAAATTAAAATATTTTTATTTGTAGGAGATTTTATTTGAGTTGCTGACTTTAGAAAGCCATGAGTATATAGTCAATCATCAGTTTATATTTAATGACGTGTAACATTTATTTTGCAATAATTCCATGAGGATCATAGTTTAGACTCGCTTTGCAGCATACAAAATTGCTTTTGGGTTTCCAGTTGACCAGTAAAAGTGACTAGTTCCTGCTTTTTGAGCTTATTTATAATTAATTTATTTAGCCTAAATTCTGCTATGCGCTCCTCTTTGAGGTTTTAATAAAAATGGGAAATGTTCGATTTTCAGAATCAAAGTGTGATATTCAGGAAGGATGGAATTGTGGAAATCATTAATATGCTCCATTAAGGCTCCATAAAACCTCCCCCTCGAGATTATTATATTTACACGATTTAAAGCCTCTTAGCATTTGTTTAGACCTCCCGCCCACATGGCAGAAAGCCTCAATAATAAGCTAACTTTCTTCGACACTCGCTTCTTTCATCCACATTTTCCGCAAGTCTAGTTATGGGGCAGCATTGAAATTTGTATGATCCTACAAAGGGCCACTAACTGCTCAAATGGCAACATGTCTAAGCTTAGGCTTCAACACCTATCTTCCCCCAATTGATGCCTAGCATGCCTCTTTCGCTTACCCGCAACTCAATTATTTAACGATGTACTGTAAACCCTGAGGCAGTTTTGCTGCTATAAGAATTGTGCACAAGGATGATTATTCTTAAATTAATCCTTTGTAACCTCTGTATATGTCAGAAAGTGTTTTACAAATAATGATTTGCGTCATTCGGAAAAATTTTGAAGGACGGTACTGGCAAATCTAACAAAATTTCTTAGGGAGTCTAAGGCACTTGTTTTCTTTGATTATCGAGAAATCTCAACGACGAAATGCCGGGTTGTGGCATGTTCTACTAAGGGGTCTTTAAATGGCTGAACTATGGATATATCAGGTTGGCAGAACAGACTTGCCCCTTAAAGTTAACATACTATATAACAAGTTCTAATGGGATTGCCAAAGTATGATGATAAATTGAGTATTGTGTATTATCCTTGTCATATGCTGGATGTTTACTCAAAAAACGTTATTTTACATCATTTTACTGCAAAAAACACTATCTCCCCTCTTTTAAAATTATTCCCTTGGAAACTGCAAAACAAATGTCCATGTAGAATAATACAACTAAGCGGCAGGAAGAAATAATAAAGCTTTAGTTGAGACGCAATGGCTTCCATGGTCACAGATGTACATTCATTGGGATTGGAGTAGTCGACATTTGCTCGACCTTCTTGTTTCCCCTCTGCCCGCCACGCCGACGATGCACGTGTTCGGACGTGCGACAAACGCATCGGCGTCGAGTGTCGACACGTGCCATCATGACTAGCGAGCTGTTTTCTTAATGAAAAATAATTCTATTTGAATGGACTTGCGGGCGTCTTTTGGTCGCTCAGTGTATAATCATTAAATAATTTAACTCGGATTGTAGGAAAATGAGTAGCTGACATGAATGAACCAGTAATAACGGGAAAATTGGCTGGCCTCTAATTATTACTATCGCCTTCCTACTTTACAAAACGGAATTTTATGGTTTGCAAGGACAATCAGAATATGTATTTCATCCCAACCCCCAAATGCTAAGTGATATAGGTGCTTCGAATTCGACGAACCTGTCGAATCCCAAATCATCGTATGCATACCACTTGTCTAACTGGAAGCTGAGTTCATTAACCATAACCACGGATTTATGTTTCGCTCCTTTCATTAAGCAAGGCAGAAGCGTTACACCTTAGCGATGTTAAACAGAAAGCGGAGTTGCGTCCTATTCCAAAGGTGAGGCCTAGAGATAATCGAACCTGCGTGACTATCCGCCATTGCATTTTCTGGATTTAGTTTCGACAACCAATAATTAAAACGACTGTATTTTCCGCCTTCCCTCTATGCCACCCCTCCCTTTATAATTAATATGTAATTAGTTCAGCTGCTATTCACAAATCTTTCAAATCCATCCCACCCCTTTGTTCATATTTGTGATTCTGATTATAGGAGAAGTTATTCTTTTTATCCACTTAGGAATTTACTTAGCGGAACGTTGTGAACCTTTGTTAATGCCTAGTTTAAGTTCATGACTCCCGCGCAAGTATTTGAGTTGTCATTTGACTTCTTTTCACTTGAGTTGGAGAACCATTCGGTAGCTACATTGCCACCAGTAGTGTGTTTTTAAATGTAATGGCTCAGAAGGCTTGAGCCAGGAAGAGTTATTTACAGATATGAAAATATCTTTGAAAATGTTTAGGTTGGCACTAGCCCATTTTTCAATTGTCGTCGGGAATTCGGCAGTCTTTGCAAATTAGTTTAACTAATGGACTATTACTGCAATGATTACTTCTTTTCATGGCTGTACAGGTGCCAAATACCATTGTGCACCAAAAGGCTCCACTGTCTTAGAAGGTGATTACCATCAACCCTGTGCCCACCAGATAAAAAAGTATTTTGCTTGCCATTCGGTTGTTTTGGCAGACAGGCGTTAAAGGACAAATCGTTTAAACTTCTTCTCTGTTCATTTAAGCAAAGCGTATGTGAATTGATAAAAAAATTAAGGGCTCCTAGCCGATGACCGTTAATATTCGGCTTTTTTTGAGAAGCGTTTTCTTCATGACTGGGTTTTGAGTCCCGGAATCGCAAAATAAAACTAGTTTGAAAGAGCGCATGATAAAGAAGGCGTCGGGCTCATATATCCACTTGATAAAATCAGTAGACAATAGATAAAACCTAAAGGAGAAATTTTGGGAACATCAGATGAAAGCCAAGGATGCGGATTCAGGAACCTAAGTATTTGCAAATAGAAAATGCTAAAGCAAGTGCGAGTCACAGGTGCGATCATTCGGAGTGTGAGTGGCCAGTCAGCGGTTGTGGTGGGCAAAAGCTGGGTCGCCTTGATTTACCCACGCGCACACACGGCGGCGCGCTGTGCACCTGATCATCGGATTTTGGCCAGGCATTTTATCTGGCTGATGGAGGGAAGCGGAGTGGGTCGTGACATTTGCAACTACAACTGCGCCCCGAACAAATGCAAGTGTAAACACTCGAATAAATCACGAACGTCTACTCGCCCCCACCTACTGAGCGCAATAGTCCAGCACCACGCTTTTGGCATTTACCACTAGTCATTGGAACTTTGTGCAGTGAGGCTCTGGTGGCTGATTTGGAAAGTAGAAAACAAAGTCAATCACTAATTTTCAGTCCAAAACAATGCAGATTTGTTTGTGTCCCTCTCTCTCTGCTATTTAGTCACACATAATTAGTCGGTCAAGTTTTTTGTCGACTTAAAATTGGCAAGACCAGTAATTATAGAGCTTCGTCTTTACAAAACACCTTAACTATGCACTAAAAATTGTGAAGTGGTTACTTTAATCCAATCTTTTTCCCACATTGTTGCTGTTTATTCATAAGTTACTTTGTGACATGTGATAGGACAAAATATCGACCGTTGTAAGGCAAGGTTTGAACTTAACGTAGATGTTATATTCAGACTTAAAATAGAAAAAGAAAATTGCCTAGTGGTAGAAAGGACTGGTATTAAAAATACGAATTATTCTCTCTTCAGTTATTCCGGGATTGCAAGTTCTGCTATGGCGGAAGTCACGACTCCGAATTAGTTAAATGCCAACTTATCCATTTTCCTTTTTCGCCTTTTCACGTTATGCAGTTTAACGATCCGTGTGAATAAAATCGACTTCGCTGCTCACGGATCTTCATTCACTTGAGACCTAACTTGCCAAATGGTATTTGCTGTTGATATTGAGTTTTTGCCACTCGTTACACGATTAGTAAATAGTGCTAACATATTGTTCCACGGTAATGCTGAGCAAATGTTCGTATTGTACGGATCAGTTGCCTTGGTGAGGTACGACATTCGTTTGCGTGTGCACCTCAGGTAAAACCTACACCTAAACATCGGATGGCCTGTCTTCCAGCCACGCCGTGCGCGTGAACGCACACGCGCCACAGCAGTCACCGGAGGCGTATTCTAAAGTGGTGAACGACACGACGATTCGACCACCAGGTGCGTGTGTTTGTGCGTGGGTACGTTTGGACATCAAGATGGCACTCAAGGGGTTTTATTACAACTGCACCTGTTTTACCGCTAAATCAACACAAACCACAATGGTGTGCACACGTTTGCTTGTCATATTCGCAGTTTCTAAACGTTCCGTCTAAGTACCATGTTTGATTCAAACGAAACTTCGCATCAGCACAACCCGATTTTTTAGTGCATAAATGTCACAAATTTGTTGGTTTTACCGAATAAGTTTAACAGTTTCATCATTGACATTCTTTTAAAATTTGTTATCCCTTGTGATAAAAACCTTATATTTCTGGCACACAATTAACGGTTTATTTTGGTGTATGGAATTCATCCCTTTGATCTGAAAATAAATAAAATGGGCCAAATCAGTGCTGCTTTCGTGGTCTTAATGACGCCCAGTATTTTCGGTGAGAAAATTATGACTTTGGTGGATTTTGTAAATCCGTCTTATATTAAATGCGAGTTATGGTTATTGTGAAGAAGTACTCTTTTCCTAAATGTAGCAGTCAAAAATCAGGGTAAATTCCAAATTGAAATTAAGCAAAATATGATTGAATCTAATATATTGTATCTAGTTCTGTATAATCTGGTGATATTGTGACAAAAGACAATCCTTCTTTACCAAAATTCTTGTTGCCTAGATATTTTGATAGTCAGTAAGATTACAAGGAAACACTCCAAAGGAAAATCCGAGCGAAATTGTTTTCAGTCACCATTCGAGCTATCCAAAGCAGTGAGTTTACTTAATCTTGGTGCTGCACCATCTGATCAATCTTTCCAGTTTCTTTTCTGAGCCATAAAGTGAAAAATAACATATGACACGTTTGCTTAAAGTTTAGGAGTTTTGCTCTTAAAGTTGACTTGCATCTGGAATGAGAACATTTCCACTCATTTCTGCAATACTTACTCAGATTAAAATCAAGGTTGATTTTTATGAGGGTAACGCCACTATCCTAAAAAATTTAAGAATGCCTTCAATAACGCAAGCAATTCCGCCACCCTTTTTCATACAGTCGCCTTGACACAGCGTGATTTTGTCATCGGAATCTCTGTTAATGGCAAGACAAAAACGAAAGCAGTGTAAAGATCCGCGTCGTTCGTTTCTTTCACTGTCTCTGACGAAGCCGGTGGGTTGATAGGTTTGAAGTTGGCATGCAGACGGAGGAGCTGGCGCTCATTAGCTTGCACAATGCACGTACTTCGTTTTACGACTGGGACATTTTTGACCAAGGAACTCTTAACGGCCTGCGCACGTTTGTTAATGTGTTTCGGGATTGCAAATATCGAAATCTGGGTGGTGAGTCGGCATGATGGAATGCCAAGAGCAAATAACCGGTGCAATTTAAAAGGATTACATTTTTGAATTGTAAATTATATATGCATTGGTTTCGTCAGATATGGTGTGTGTTAAAGCAAAAAACCGGAGTTCAGCTTGTTTGATGGCGATTGCAAGACCGCTAAATATTTCTTTATCAAATGAACTCAAGCGGTTCCAGGTTTAAGTAAATATTTACTTTCGTTTGACCAAAGCCCATCATTAATATTTCTCTTCAAGCTCTGCTTACCTTGCCCATTCATTTAAAGCCAAAGGCGTTAATTGTCAAGTAATTATATAGTAGAGGCAGCAGAAAATAGGTTGACACAAATGCTCTTTATATGGCTGAAACAACAGCGACACCATCTTCGGAAGTTTAGTTGTTTGATTTGACCGATAAGGTAATAATTTACAATACATCCATCTAACCCAGGTCCAGCTCCACCCAGTCTACTTTTAAGTACAAAATTATGTTTTTTTTCAATAGAGGATTAGGTGATAGGTGACAAAAAAGGTTACCACACTTTAACTTCATTAAATAAATATTCTGAATTGTGTTCAAACGGCATCCATTTGCTTAGGTCCTATTAAGGTAGACACAAGCTGTTTTATTTACTGTTAGTTTATTTGTTTGCATTTTTGTATTTTTAAAGAATTTGCAAATCTAAAAATCGAAAAATTGGAGTCCGAACATTTTTATTCACGTCTAATTAATTCTTCAAGTATTTTATGACCACAGAAGAGAATTTCTAATTTCTGAATCACTTTCATCATATATATGCATTCCTTCATTCGGCAATGGTAGATCTGCAACCCAACTGAAAACAGCGATCACGAGGTGTTTTTTGATCAGACATTTCCTCTTCACCGTGCGACAAGCCATTTTGCAGTTAAAGTAAAACATTATTTTGTAAGGACATGTCAGGCATTCACAAACCTTTCTTGCATTCAGTTCTTATGATATCGTATATATTTAGACACTTCAGCGACGGAACCAGGCTTACACGTAAAATAATGGCCAAATCGGGACTCAAAGAACCGGTGAAAGGACTAAAATATTGCCCTCAATATAATTTCAGAGTGCCTTTTTCTTTTCAAATATTTGTCCACGTCGACATCAAATCAACATTAATTTGCGATATTTCTTATTATGCCTACAATGTTATTGTTAAAACCGCTTAAAAACCTTTTTGGCACTGCCTGTGTAGTAGGATTCATGGCCTTATTTCCGGGGTGGTGAAATTTTCCCCAATATTTTTGCATTTCCTATGGGAACTCGGGGATGTCGGAACGCAACTCTGTTTGCACTCTTTTATTCCCATTCTGTTTACCGTGAGTTTTCATGACCAAAGACTGATACTACAGTCTGCAGTTCTCTGCATTATGTGCGGGTCTCACCAGACAAAGGGGCAATAGGTTGTGGTAAACAAGTTGTTCTAGAATGGGAAAGGTTCCTGTTTAGAACAGTTAATAATGAAAGTATGCAAAGTCTTTCTGGGAAAAAGCCAATTCATTTTCACGAAGGAAAACGCATCTCTCAAGAAGTAAGCTAAATTCATAGGGAATCGAATGCGACCAAGTGGTTCCATTTTATTGACTTTTGGCTTCTTTGGAAATGAAGTTTTCAAAATCAAGAGATCAACAATTGTTTTGCAAGTATTTGCTTACCCGAATATTTGGTGATTCCTTTTAATACAACAGGCAGACGAGTAAATAAAACGCGTTTCTTAAAATTTATTGCCTGTTTGTAAAAAGCTCATGCCCCTTACGCAACAAGCGATTTATCCGTTTACCTAATAAAGTATCAGCAACAAATTCCTTCAAGTTTTTGTTTTAACAGCTTAAAACGTATTGTCCGGAATATTAATTTTAGGCATCATACCGCAATTAACTTTTGTATGGACTAAACCATGAATGCACCATCAAAGCAGTTTTTCCTCTCCATTCAACTCAGCCAAATGAGAAGAGAATAAGTCTGACGGCGTACGGCGCCGATTTACAATGTGCCGACAGCCATCGGCGTATAAAGACCGATGGGTTTGTCAAAATAACTAGTGCAAACATCTCGGAATTACCACTTCTGGTAAGGAGCTATGTTTACGCATCGCTTGTAGTATCTAGTTAAAAATAGTGCCGGAAATTCAGGCAGGGATGGATTACTGTTTGCAGATTATTCATTGCAATCCTTTTGTCATCGTGTGTAGTTCGTATTTTTGGAAGGACACTAAGGCATAAAGTGCGCGGAGAAGTTACAGTTGAAAATGCCAGTGCAATACCCCTAGGAGTATTGGATTCGGACGCAGATGCCAGTGATACTCACACATTTTGGCTACAAGCTTGTAATAGTTAAAGTTAATTTTCAATGAACGAAGCAGACAGTATTAGCTGCATACAGTCTAGTATTCTGATAAGTCTGAATACAGCAAATGAACATTTTTTACTTTCTTGTCAAAGGAGAATTTGAACTCACCGCTTAATGTGATGAGCATTAGGACGCAGCTCGTCATCGATAAAATTTGCAAAATCGTCGTTCAATTTATATTTCTTGAAGATTCCAGTCATTAGTAACTCTCAAGATATGCAGTGAAATTAGTCAACTTGTGTCGACCTGTGGCAAAACGATTAACAGATTTGTCGGCAGCATTTTGGAGGGTGGGCACAGACATGATACAAACCATTTTAATTCCCAAAATAATGTTGGAATGGCAGGTTGAAGTAAACGACAAAACTTTAGCGAACTACGCTATATACCAAAACCGAAAGAATGAAACGATCCTTTTTTGTACCAACTACGTGCGTACCTGCAGACGCGGCAAAAGTGAGTCACAGCTACTCCACATCCGATCGCACAATCCCCACCCGTCCCAGTCTCGATGATTCATGCGCGACAGCACAAGCCATTTCCCTCCTCCTATTTGCCTGTTTAAACGCCTCCAACGCTGTGACCATTTTTTCTTTCATTGTCTGCGGAGTAAATATGCGCCCCTAAAAGTAGAGACATTTGAGAATATGGTAAAAAGGGGCAGCCCATGTGCAATACATCGATAAACAGGACACTGAACTCAGTCATATGGCGGGAACGAAGACATTTGATAAACAACCTGATTATTAAGGGCAACTAAGCAGTAACTACGCAATAAATCTATTACTAACCTTCAAGTTGAATGGCGTCAGCTGAGTAAGACTGCCTGGAAACGATGGAATTAAGCTGTGGGATTTGATTATGACAGAATGTGTCAGACCAAATCGCATTGCAAATAGCAGATTAGAAGGTACCAATGTAGTTTGGTGTCAGTGGTTTAGATGACATTCATTCAGAAGTGTGGTTTCGAATTTGCGCAAATAGGCCTTAACTTAGTGGAGCAGTAAACTTCAGCGGAATTTTAAGCAAGGATATAGCTTGAATGAGAATCTGGAGACATGCTACCTACAGTGCAATGCCGGTTTCTGTCAACACCATTGGATCAGTAAACAAAGGCCTTGCCTTGGAACAAACATCCCACGGACATGTCACTTGTGTACTAAACTGACCTCAGCATTTCCACGTGCAAGCAACTCCACCCGAACCGTTGTTGCTCCCCAAACGCTTTGGCCAGCCAAGTCCTCAAGCCCTTGCGATGCTCACGCGTGCATTGCTTTGCTAAGGCTTGACTTGGATTTCCGGAATGACACTTCGGTGGAGAATTAACTACTCTTCCAGCAGCCCAATGGCCAAACTACTAGGTTTCTGAACGAACACTAACCCTTTAGTCTGTTCTGCTTATTTGTCTGCTGTATTTGCGAGTTGTGCGCGCCGACTTGGTGGCCGCGTATGTCGTGGTGGCCGATTCTCTGAACTACACATTGTCGGCTCACAGTGAGGTATGGGAAGGCCGAGTGGAGGTGGATGACTAAGCAACCGCAGGAACTTGTCTGGTCACCGTGCACTCAGACATGCCAAACTACATCCCAGCAACTTCTTTTGGTGTGCCTGCTTATTGCAGGCATGGCAGTCGCACATTCACTGCTCAACAACCATTACCGAAATTAATTGGGCGATTGCTAAAATATCCAACAAATCATGCAAAAAAGTGTAGCCACGCTTGTGGGAATGCAGTCATGCTGATTACTTATTTGCCAGCAGCGTTTATTGACGGGAGTCACTTTTCAAGCTCTTAGTGATACCGTCATGGGGGAGGATTTAAATGAATTCGAGTTAGCAATACATAAATGATTTATACTGATAAAAGCGGTCATAAAGTTGCTTTAGTTACTTTTTCGATTTATCATTATTATTCTTCATTGGCTTTTAGGTGCTTTTATACTGTTGCTACTTAATACTGGTTTTTAGACTTATTTGCACATTCCTGCAAGTGTTTTAATACCTTTTGTGTTATTCGAGGAATACCAATCCAAAACAATTGTACTTACACATCTGCTTTTAAGATTTGTAGCTGATTTCTTTAGGTTTCTACGAATTTGTTTAGGTAAACGTCCTTTATCATGTCTAAATTTAATCAAGAACTGACAGAAGTCCATACATGTTAATCGAGCATCTTTTAAGTTATGCCTTTGGATGCAGCCCAAGTGAATGGTTTTTACGATTTTGTTTTGAATGCCTGTCTAGTGGACAGCCGTAAACCGTAAAGGACACCATTTAACCTGCTATGCCGGTCTTGGCAAATAATTTCTCTTGCTAGTTACATGCTACACTTTAAAATCCAATCAAGTTTTGATTTTTCCCGGTTCTTTAAATGTGCCTTTATTTATGGCGAGAAGCACTGCGGCAGCAATCGCGAACCAGTAGATAGCAAAACATTGACATGAAAAGAATTTTCTAGGTTCTTTTAAAACCACATCTGGGTCATAGCTTAGACTAGACATCATAGGAATCATTTTCGCTCTGTTTATAACACCCGATTGGGGCATACGCAGGGAGCGATGCTTGAGGATAATTCTCAAATTACCAACTTCTGCAGCAAATTGGTTTAAAACACTACGTGGTTTTCCCCAGTTTCGCCTACCCCAGCCTAGTTGCTGCATTGTCGGTAGAAGTGGCCCATGTAATTGTGGTGACTCAGCAGTTCTCGCAAGATCACAAGTGTCCGCAGGGGTGCCACCATGTGCGCCTGCACGCGTGTGCACATTCGGTGGTATCGGCGCTCTATTCACGTCGCGGCGTCGAGAATTTGTCACCGCTTGGTCGTTTGCGTAGTGACTCACGGTTTTTAAGTCAAGCTGTGTTGCTTCTGCTTATGGCCAACGACCAGTGCTGATGTGCTGCATCTTTCAGCTCTCTATTAAAGCCAGACGAATTGAAAATATGGCAGAATTAGAGCCCATTAATTGTAACCGATATCACATCTTACGCCGGTTCCTCAATCTCGAGTTTTTAGGAAGAATTATAAACAAACAAAAAAGGCTTTTTATGAAAACAAGGATGTTTACTGATGTCGCTCATAAAAAGGGGCTGGGAAAGGGTATCCAAGCCTCAGTCGTTTCACGCTTGAACGTTCTTTGTTCTTCACAAAGCACAGAGTTTGGACTCATTTGCGGTAACAAATTCACGTCGGTTGTGTGTCAAGTATTAGTACTATTTAGAGGTAATTAGTTTTTATATATATCAGTCCCTTCCAGTAAAATATTCCTGTGATTGATTAATGATTATTGAAATACCGAGATTTCAATGAATAAAATTACAGCTCTTCTGACATGGCGTATTTCCACTCGATGTTCTCCTTAAGCAAGGCTCTGAGGTTCGAATGAGTTGAAGATTTTGACAATTACATTCTACATAGTGTAACTCTTTTACCCGTGATAGGGGCGGCAGGTGGCGAGTCAGGACCCTTGGGTGGCGGCGTCGGTGCGAACAGTGAAATCTGCTGAAATGGAGAGCGCAGCTACTGGAGCAGCCACCTCCCACATCGACGTGAGCATCGCTGGTGACCTGTCCGCTGCCTCCGTCTCCGGGACGCCTCAAGAGAGCCGGGCCCTGGGGAAGCCGATCATGGGTCTGCGACTGCACAACCAGACAAGAAGGCCGCGCATTCTTTCGCAGTCCAGTGGCGGCAGCAACTGGATCCGAAGAAACAGCGTCCAATGTAATCATACCTTCCAGCCAACTTCCGAGTTCTCACTTAACTTTGATCCTGCTGAACAGGGAGACAGGCTCTCAAAGGCCTCTTCCTGCGATGATCGCACACGCCAGGTTAGTCCGAATCAACCAGTTTAAAAGCATATATCAACTTAAGTTTGTGTATAAAAAAATTGATTGAGCCCAATAATTGAACTGTATAGTTACTAATTGGTTTTGGAGGAGTTTCCGAAAGCATTCAGACAACGCGGCACTGTTTTTATGACCGCCTACGTAATTAGCTGATAGTAAAACGTGATCAAATAATAGTATTGTTTATTCCAACCAGAACGACGTGTGACTGTAAAAACTCTGATGGGATCCCTATCGATCGTCATTTAAATCGTTACTAATGGAAATATCAATAGAAAGCTTTATGCTGCCTCCTTTTTTGCATAACTGATGCACAAGTTTTTAATAAGTGAGAATTTTTTGCACAGAAAAGGTTTGTGCCTGGCGTGTCAGTTGGAACAATCCGTTGTTACGTTGAAAAGAGGACATATCTGGGCGTGCCACAGATATGTAGTTTGCCATTACACCACCAGTTAAGAGCCCGAAGTGAGTGAGATTGTGGTCTAATGGTAAGGTGGTCTTTAAGTATCAAAGTCGGTTGAATAACGCTTTTTCAATGGCTTGTGGTTAATTTACTCTGCTTCCTAATTTTTAAATGATTAATATGAAATTACAGTTTACGAAAGCAGACATCTAAAAGTTCACGTTTTTGATGCTAAGAGGATCGTTAGTGTAAAATATCACGCTTCTCTTGGCATCATGCATTTACCGAGGGAATTAGAAAGAGTTATTTTAAGTTTCTAAATCCATAAAAAATTATTCCGATATTTGCTTTCGGAAAACAGAGGTATAGTGTGCATAGCAGCGTCTTCTTCAGAGGGATCAGTAAAGGAAATCTACTTACTAGGATTGCTTAGTAGCAGCATGATAAAAGGACGGCTGAAAAACTCTCTTTTCTCTTCCAATTAAAAATATTTCATTGCACAGAAAAGAAAATTATTTTCCTCTAGCCAACTGTGCTTTTATGGTTTTCACGATCTGCGGTTAAAATCACTAAATTCGCTAGCTGTCACCTCCGAATCAAGCTCACGTGAATTTGTTTCAACGTAAGAAACGAATTAAACGTGAAATCTATACTAGTTTGTACTATAGCTGAAAGCGTTTCATTTTAAAGCATTCAACTGAATACGCCTAACTGTTTTTAATCAATTCTTGCTATATCTACTGCAAAATATCTGTATTCTGAAAACAGACCCGTATTACTTAATTATCTTGCTTTGTTTTACCTTCGAGTGTCTGATCAAAATAATTCTGCAATATGTTATTTGGTGAAGGCAAGTCCAGCAATGGCAAATTAAGGAAAGTGTCAGTAGACGAAAGACTTTATCTTCTGACGCTCACCTCCTCCGAAAGTGCTACAATGCAATATCATTTACCTTTGAAAAAATGACAAGTATGCTGACGCTACTGCACTTCGAGAACTTGCTGATTGATTTGTTCGCTCAATGTATCCTAAATTCCGTAGCGCAGAATGTATTCGGAGTAATATATCAACTTAGGCATTTTGATATAAATATTTCAGATGAATACCTATTTGCAAAGCCTGATCAATATCACCTGTTAAACAGTCCAGGAGTCACTGCAATCGCTTTGATCGATGAAGGATGTCTTGGTATGCAAGTTAAAGCTTGATTAGTTGCAGAACGCTTGGTATGCAGATCGGCACAATGCGAATAGACTCAGTGACTCGCTTTTGTATTTCTACTGCTACAGTAGTTCAAGAAAGCTTAGTTGAATAAAGTGACTAACCGATTTGTCCTGCTTGCGTGCTCCCGCCAGATCGGCGCCAGCAAAACCACAAAATTTTTGCTGTGTTTGATGCATGCGAAAATGGGTTCTGTTATCCTTTTCGGTGGACAAGCCGGAAAGTGGCAACACTTAGTTCTTAAAATTTCTTACCAAACGTTTGCACCAAGGCAGAAAATAGGTTGATTGTTAGTTTTTTTATGCTAAAGAGGTGGTGTGATTCAGTACTATAAGGTATGTTGAACTATTTTGTTCTTAAACCATTATGACGCCTATTTTCAAGGACAACGCAGCTCCATAGAGTCGTTTTACTCCCGCAGATGATGAATTAAAGTGGCACGCCAAGACTATTACTCCTTCAGCATAATTGATTACCATCGCGCAGCTCTGTTGGCGTGGCTGCTTAAACAATAATAACATTGCCATAAAGGTACAAGACCAGTAGTGAAATTGTCTTCAAACTCATTCTATTATTTATCAGCTTAGGATATTTCAAAGGGAGTGTAGACTAATACTGAAAGAATTCCACAAGATAAATAATTCACATTACGTTGTTTTTTTATCTAGATAGTAGAGACTAAAGCTGTGGCAATTCCCTTCACGTATCTGGATTCAGATATTCACAAAGTATCTCTCTCCGGTACCTCCCAATTAGTCAAAAATGCAACAGCAGTTTTTTGGTCTGTAAATACTATAGTTTTACCGATTTGTCTAGTATTTGCTATTCCAAGGCCTCTTTTTTACCGCGGTTACTGAGGCAAAATTGATTTTCTTTAATTGTTGATGTGATTGACTCGGCGGGCACTATGTGACGCTTTCATGCCAGGCTCGTAGAGATTCACAAGTGTCTGCTTGAAGTTGGAAAAGACTACAACAAGTTAAGTATTGAATGAATTGACAGACTGGAACACAAAAATATCTTCAGCTTTTTGGGTGCACTTTCTATTCTGTTTTATAATCGATGAAAGTAGAAGCTGCGCATGAATGAGTCATTGACATTTGCCGGTCGGTCACGTACGCTCTTGATTGCCTATAATCAGGTCCCAGCGCCTCTTTTGCCTGCGCACATTCACGCATAAACCTGTTACCCCGAAAGTACATAAATCACGAAGTTTCCTTCTCCCCACCAACACCTGGGCGGGAAGGTGCCATCAGGTGGTGGGTGATGCCAGCAGGCCACACTTGTCTCGCTCTCTTTCTCGGATCTCCGTTAATCAGCCCATGCAGTGGAATAATGTGTCAAATATTATTCAGTTTAAGACAATGCTACAGCAGACTGGCAGACCTAGACAGCTGCTTTAACCCTTTCGTGCCTCATTAGATAACCTAAGTCTGAAATCAAAAATGCTGATTTCACCTATCCCATGTGGACCATTGTTCGAAAAATCTTTCTATTTTTTTTCATACCTTGGGCTGATTTTTTAAATGCGCCCATTCAAAAACGTATGGGAACGTCTCTTTTTTTACTTTTCCTTCCTTAGATTTCGACGTAATGTTTCTCATGACTCTCACCTTAGACAATACCATTATCACGAACTCTACAAATTTTGATCTAGCCTTTTATTGCCCTATTGAGTGATCATGTTTTCACAATTTTTCAGGTGGTAAAATTATTTTTGGGATTATATTAATATTTAAAATAATTAAGAGACAATAATCCTTTAGAAATACTTTTTGTCGTAGAAGGGCGTTAATTTGGACGTCTTGTCAAGTACACATCAGTCCTCAGCAGAGTTTAATAAACTCATACCTTAGACCTTACGGTTTTTTTAAGTGTATAATTTCTGGAAAGTTGGTGCATGTCGGTCATCTTTAATGGAAATAAGATTCTCTAGTAGAAGGATTTGGAATACAGAAATAGGATTTAGAAATGTTGAATTTAACAAGGCACACAATAAAAATAACTTGCAATGACAACTTAGGCTAAGCTTAGGTACTACCCTAACTATGTTTCTCCACCTATTAGACAGTGCTCATAACTAAACAAACCAATTATACGATGACAAATGGCGCTTACTGACCAGAACGTTCAAAGCTTCAACTTACATGTCAAGAAACCACTTAACGTTTCATTAAATTTATAACATGACAATGTAACTTAGTTCTGCACTTTAAAAAAATTTTAAATCTTGAGAAACCCCCACGATTAATGTTAAGTTGGCAGGTGGTACAAAGTAGAGGGACTTGGTTAAAATTAATGAGAGCCACATGGCTCAATCCTTGAGGTTTTTTGCCTAAGCTATAGTTAGGGTTGTTTGAAAATATGGCTTTGGTAGGTTTTATGCTAACTTACTTCGGATTTCCGCTGACTGTTAGTTTAACGGTCAAAACAAAATATCACCTAGGTCACGTTGACAAGTGGTTTATGTCCAGCAATCGGAAATTCACACTGAATATATGTTTTCTTGTGAAACACACGCATATTTAATGGTCTGAGAAGTTTTATCAAAGCCACAGACTACTAATGTTGAAACTCCTGCAAAAGGCGCGTGGACAAGAATAGGCGAATCAACATGTAGCTCTGCAAATGACTAATTGCATCGCCTGCTACAATGTTGACGGGCTCTGAGATGTATGAAATCGGCAGGAAGATATTGCACTAAGTTGCCTATCCGTGTGGGCATATTCATGGAAAATTCCAACCTGTATTATTGGGTAAAATGAGGTGTAACTAGACAATCTTTTTAAAGCAGCAAATATATGGTATTCATTCACTTTGTGGTGATTTTTTGCAACTTTGCTGTTCTTAGGTGATTAACTGAATATAACTGTCTTGTTCGACCATGATTTGCCATTTCAGTCTTCTGATGAATCACGTTGAATAGAAGCAGGCTTTTTAGGAAGACTTGCCTACTGTTTCTGGGGTAGATGATTCGTGTCCTACGAAATATATTTTGGTTAGGTGTATGAGTTTTGGTCTCGTGAGTTTTGGAGGGGTTTAATAATGAGCGAGTTCAGCTTGAAGCATTTCAAGTTTGGATGGGTGCAATGAGATGTTCAGGCAGTTGTCTATAACTGTGTAGATGCTTTCACACTAATCATACTTGTGCAGTTGAGACTGCACATTTTACAAGATTGTTTTGACCCTTGCTTACTTCATGATCTGTCCATTTGATAAATTAATGCAAAATATCTAGCAAGCAGTTTTTTTCAAAATAATGTTTTTATGCTGTGTATAAACGAAAATAAACAGCATTCGGCAAACACAGGACGAAATCTGGTGCAAAATTTCACTCTTCTCAAATGAAATTTAAAAATATTTTACCTTGTCAGATGCCCATCTAATTTTTTTAAATTTTTGCAGATGAAGTGTGTCTGCTAGAGTCTGAATACAACTTTTAAATGAGTATGTATCCTCTTACAGAAGTGCATATCAATACTTGAGCGAAACGTACCTTGTTCTTTGTACTGCAACAGTTGTTCTGTCTCACTGAATTAGCACAGTGGAATATGGCATACAGTGATGCCACTGAACAAAATAGCATGTTATATGGACCCTAGACCTGCCTTTCTGGCGTTTTGCAAAGGCCGGAATTCGTGTTTTTCTATTTTCACTTAGAGTTTTCTGTCTGCTTTCAATATAAATGTCGAAATTAAAATTTTTAAGAAAACAAGCTTGGCGCAGAAATATCTGCATATGTTAGTGAATCAATGATGTAATAAGTGGTTAGATTAATTAGCGTATGTGGGGGAAAAAGAAGTTGACTCGTAATTCATTGTTTTCTACGATTTCTTTGAAGACATTTATGTCAACGTTTTGTGTGATGCGTCATTACGGTATAGGGCAGACTTTTGTATTTGGCCGTTGAGCGTTCGTTTATATGGTGAATTTCGTTTTGTTAATTACTGTACTAAGGTTGGCCGGACAGGTCTTAAACCATCATCACAAACACAAAGCATGGACCTATGCGCAGTCACAAACTTTGATTTATTGTTTTAATCGAATAGCACTCAGCAGAATAGGCTAATGCCCCTGGTAAGTTACAGGAATGCTGAACACCCGGCTTAACAACCCATCATTCCTAAATCCAAGTTTAAAGGCAAGTGAATAAAAATTGTATTTCAATGCTATTGCATAAACGAAGACTTACTAGGTATCAAACAAGTGAGTAGAAGATTACAACACTCAAAATATTGGAATAAAGTATAAGTTAGATTTGTAGCATAATTCTAAAAAACCATCGTTCAAAGTTGAGTACCTTTGTATGATGTAAATCATAATACTTGTTAGACGAAAGAGCGCATATCCGGCAATTTTGAAGAAAAGATAATGCCAAAATACAACTTCATTCCATATCTGCGCAATCGTGGCCCAAAATATGGCCATACCCGGATTTGCGCGCACACGTTTGTCGTTTTTCATCCACCCAATCTACCTTCGCATCGATATTGGTGGTGAATATAAGAGTTTGTAACCTGGACATTTATGTGATGTAAATCCAAGTGGCTGGGCAAAGTCTACCCCTCAAAATCAGCACACAGCTTTTTACCGGAAATAGGGTTCCAAAATCTCATTCATGGTATTTGGTCAAATCTTCTTTTACTTAGACGAATTCTTTTACTAAATGTTAGTTATTGTTTAAAGAGAGTAATTTTTCAAGTGATCGATACTGATTCAAATGTGACATTGATCGAAACGCATTTAATCTTCCTGAAAACTAAGATGATAAGCCTGCGAGGATGCATTAGTATGAGCGAAGGAGTTTTTAAAAGATCTGCCGTAGAAACACATTCACACGCATTTTCTAAGACATGTTTAAAGGTTTTTCTATAGAAGGAAAGAAACGATTTTAACTGATTATAGGACCAGCCGCAGTATTTTAATCAAAATAAGTACAAACAATGTGCCCGACATCCTACAACACTGTTCTATCATCTTATTGCTAATTGAGTCGATGATTTGTTAATCATTTCTTAAGAAATAAGCATCGCGAGTTCTTCCAACATCACTCTTCTGCTCCTATTTTTGGGCGATCAAGTTATTTGGTTTATCGCGAAAAAAGTGTCTCTTCACTATTTTGGTTAGATCAGGCTAACCCAAGCGCTTTGCTACTTTACAGTCCAATTCTCCCGTTCTTTCGAGCAGTACCTCCTCAGTATCGCAGAGTTGTCGTAGCGGGGATAATTTCACCAGTGTTGGGCTGAAGGAAACGGAAGAGCCCCAGTGGGTGAGAAACTGCATGAGTCGTTGTGCGGGCGAAGGTAGTGGTGTCGCGCCATCATGTACTTCGGCTTTCGTGCAGACGTTTTTGGGCGGTCTTGCTGGGGCAGCACCATACCAGAGACTGGCAGACTTCGCGCGCTGCGCTCTTTTAGCCTGCGAGCAGCGTGAAGCCGCCTGTGCCCGTCAGGAGGCTGAACTCACCGTGCTGGAGGCTTCGCTTGCCGAGGCAAAGGCTGCGGGCGATCAGCTCCAGTGTCGACTTGGACAGATCGAGGCTTCATGGGGAGCCGCTGCTCGAGCTGCTGAACTTGCCGACATGGCTCTCGAGACGAGTGGTGTACTTGTGCATGTGAGAATTTGAATATGTTGTGTTAAGTAGACCTTTCAATGGTAAAAAATTGTCATATAAAAAATAATTACTTGCGTCAATCGTTTGCATCTATTTAAATGCTAGGTATGTATTTAAGGTTTTCAAAATATTCGAAACTTCGTCCCTGCAAAAAACAATTTGGTATTAGCATAAATTATTGCCGCTGAGATTCTCATTTGTGTTACTGGTTCTACTAATTAAATCGACGATTTAACCCTTCCATTTTTGAATCCTTGAAAGTTTGATAATGCAGGATGGCAGTTGTGTTTAAACAATAATGGATACATTTTACTTAGACAGGATCTTAAAGTTTTCAGTTTGATGCAACAAATAAGGACAAACATTAATTTAGGTTTGGAAATACATGTTCCTTTATAGACTGCAAACAAATTGGACATTAGTCTAACCTGAGGCACCATGATACCGGCGATGTAACTGATAAACCCAGCCTGGAAATATGAATTGCTTGAAGTCGATTACCTGCCACATCGCTGCAGTTGGCCTCGTAGCCGTAAGAAGTCATAGCCACGTCTTCAAAGCTATAAGGAAAAGTCAACATAAATTTCTAGAAATTAGCCACTGTGAAATCAAGTTGGTGGTTGCTGTACACCAAAAGTTGTCTTTTTTCCAAACTAGTTGTACTCCTCGGAACTAGCACTCTTTCTGCACAAACAACCCAATTCGGGTGGACGATCAAAATCAGAAAAACTCCACCATCCACGTTCGTTTGCTCGCCTTTCTCTATCGGGTTCAACTTTCACAAGCAGCTCCACCTCCTCTACATCATCTTCAGCGTCCTCAGATGAGGATGAGCATCAGGGGCTCAACAAAGCTGCACGTTCACCGCTGGTTACTCCAAATAGTCGCCGAGTCAATTCATCAACGAAGTGCACGGTCTGTCAGACTGCACAACCTGCAATTTCTAGTGACAGTGGCAACAATGTTTACGCTGTTTACGCGATCAATGGCAAGCTCTCGGATGAGGGCTCAACTATGCCATCCTCCTCATGGATCCTGCCGCATACCACGTGCAACGGCCCTGCTTGCATACGACTTCTCAGGATGCAGAGGTATTAAGATTTTTGGATTGTTTAAGAAGATTTCTTCTATCTCTGCTTTGAGATCTTGGCCTGATTGAAAACAGAAATGCTGGCATTTACTGATATTCCTTAATTATTTACTTCCTGCTCCATTGTGGCGATAACGTTGATGGACGATCTGTAATTCAGCAGATTTACACGAGGATTGTTAATTGGTTGACGAAGGTACCAGCTAATGACTCATAAATCTAGAGGCTTATGAAATTGCTTTTTAATCATTCCAAATTTCTCTGCGGTGGTTAGACACACAATAGCCTATCTATCGATAGCACATAATAAACTTCCAAGCTAGCCATTACTGCCTTAACTTACATGTAACTTTTAGGTAAGCCTTCAAAGCAGCAATAATTACGTTCTCTAATACATTTGTTTTTCACTGGGAATAAAACAAGAAACAATTCAAGCATTTGGGAGTGCATATAGTTTCTGGATGACAAAAGTCCAATCCATGTATAATTCTGTGAGAAAATTTGAGATTTCAGCCCACTGCTCCGGCCCGTTTTTGAAGAACTGAAATATGTTAGAACTGTGACAACTGCGTTCCTGATGACTATAATGGAACGTAGCAGAATGATGATAGCGCTCGAGTCAGGCACTGATCCACTTCAGTTATTTATCCTAACCAATTGCCACTTGTTTTGCTGTCGGGTAAAATAGATAAATTAAGTTAATATTAATGGTCCATAATAAAATTTTGTGGCTGCTGCTTTTGTTTCATCCGTAACGTGATTCTTTACTTTTAAAAATATAAAACCAAAGGTTGCTTTGAATTTTATAACTTGGAAACAGGTGACCATGCATGTTATCGAGCTTTATGACTTGCATCTGTTGACATTGTATTGCCGCAATCTTGTCCTCTGATTTTCTGCACTCTTTCAGAATATTCCGCTGTAGTTGATGTGGTAATTGTACGGATTGTTTGCTTATGTCTTGTTCGAAGGACCAGTTGAAGCAATACTCGTAGACCTCAAACACAACATCAGTAAAACTTGAATCAAGTTAATGTAAGCACAAGATATATGTGGCAAAAAACTTAATGGTTCTGATCTGAAATATTGGTATTACAATTCGAGCTGATTTTGCGTTCAGTTAATTTACTTAACGTTAACTAGACTGCATCACGTTTTGCGGTAAACTTAGTACACTTGCCCAACGGCCAACTAATTCTTTTGTTTATCTTCCTAGTTTCAAAAGGTGAATAAAGAGTAAACAAATGTCTGTTTGAAAAAGTTTCCTTGTCAACTTTTGCGTTATAAACTATAAGGTTTCGCGTCCGCTTAGTCTATCGCACTACCGTGCAATTCAAACTACTTTTGAGTTTCAAATTACGCGTGAAGTTTGTAAGGAACTTAAATTTAGTAATATTGAAAAATATCTCAGTTATTGAATGTCCTAATGCTGAGGAAGTAACTTGAAGCAATCTGGAGAGGACCGAGATGAGTGTTTCATACGTATACAGTTTAAAATTTAAGTCCACAAGTTGCTAAAGCTAGACATATTTCCCGTTTCGAATTTAGAAGCCAAGCAGAGATGGTAGCAACGAATCTCCTTGCTCGATTTTCGTCCATGCCGGAACCCTTCTTCAAACCTGAGAGTCTTACCTTCACGGCAGCAGAGGACTTCGATCCCTGCACCGCAAACTGCAATCGAAGCACTACAGCTGGAACCGAGAGTGGATTGGGAGTGGAATCGGGTGGAAGTAGTTCAGGCCTGGGGGTGTGTGGGATGTACGCCAATGCTTGGCACACTGTTGGCAGACCGTCAGGATCCACTGGGCAATCATTTAAGTCCTATGGGGGTTGGCAGACTCCAGACTCAGGTGCTGGCAGCTGCAGCACAAATGACCATACGGCCGCCACAGCTCTTGTCACCTCAGCACCACGTCCTAACGCACATTCTTGCTCATCTCACTCTTCCAACTCCTCATCCACGGCGGGAGTAACATCTTCTGCAGTATTTGGCGGCGCTGGAGAATGGAATAGAGTAAAGGAGTTTAAATTACGACACATTTTGGACCAGATTATTTGGGAACGGATGTTAGTAAGGAATACTATCGCTGTGGGACCCGGTGACTTCGACGGTGTATTTTCTGCTGTTCCACAGGGTGGTGATTATCACAACACAAAACCCTATATGAGAAATGAGGTAAGTTTAGAACAATTTGAAAGCAGTTATTCACAAATCCAACACTATCATCAGACGTTATTCCTAATCTCCTGGTCGTGAATTGAAAATCGTATTGTGCAAATACCCATTCCACGTATTTCACTGCTTTAACAAAGTACTTCCTTGACTGATGAAGAGAAATAGGCCATTGTGAAGTTAAACTTCACAGCATCTCCCAAACCTATATCTAAACGATAATTCAGAGTGCTATGATTTCTCCAGCTGCCTCAGTTTGTTTAATCCAATTAGTGAAAACTAGTTCGAATTAGTATAGCCAAATCAAAAGATCCACTAATACTAGCATGAGTTATCTAAGTTTCCAAATCGTTTCTTTTTCGCACTGCCATAGCAAACGTTCAAGGAACATCATTTTGGTGGCAGTAGCAACTTACTAAGCTCATTTGTATGAAATCAAAGAATGTCAATCTTGAGTTAATGGGAAGCTGCGTAGGAAATCCCTCCATCTGTTTTTCAAATCCTTCACAATCTACTTTTCCTGCGATTCTTGGCTACTATCATAATTTTCTTTTTTATGAACAGGAAACAGACATTTAATGAGAAGAGCCGATTTTTTCAGCATTTCTTTTTTCGTGTTTAATGAGAGCAACAGTTGTGTGTACTTGCATGGCACGGTCCTTCATGCAACTTCAATTTCGATTTAGTGATTTTTTTAATATTTAAGATTTCTATTCCTTTTTTCTCTCATAGAATTTTGAAGATATTTATCAAAAAATTGTCCACGTGGGTTTGACAAATTAAAAATAAAAGAATCAGTTGTCAAAACGGAAGATAAGATGTTCTTTACAGTACTAGAGCACGGATGTAAGGTGCAAATACTTACACAATGCGTAACGAATTCCCATTTGAGTTTATTTTCTAGCTTTTTACGTAGCATCATAATATCAATTTTCCGTCACTTACAGGACCCACTAATAAATCATGTTTTGTTTTGTTCATTTTTTCAAAAATAAACACTGTTTGGTGTCAGAAACTCACATTCAGTGACAATTCTAGTAACTTAGGGAAGGAAACACGGCTTTTCGGATGCTATCTAGTCTTTGGTATCGTTTTTGCAATCTCGCCTCCATTTTGATCAGATGTATTTTAGACCTACGTTAGTCTACAGAACTGACTTGATCACTCATAACAGGGTTGCTTTTACAAAGGATTATTTTGAAGTTGCGAATATTATGATTAGAAGCTATCCGCCAAAAATTTGTATTACTATTACCAGGATGTTACAAGAATCAATTAATTAAAAGGACCTGCTGTAAGCACCAAACAACCATGATAAGATTGAGGTTTCTCTCTTTGGGCGTGTTGTCTACTGACGATTGCTACCTGTTGAAGCCACGATGGGATTTTTATGACAAAATAATCTGACGTCAAAATTTGTTACCCCTAACCTCCATACTAAATTTTAATACGTTAAATCACTAACAGAAATCACATCATGTGTCTATCCTCAAGAGTGCACTGCGTTCGTTCATGTTTTGTAGCAAAGACTTAATTTTTGGGTAGGTACGCTTTTAAATTAATTTGAAATCCGAACTTTATGTTATTTTTAGTGATAAATAGCCTATTATCGATTTTTTATTTGTTTCACCAACAAGTTTATGAAACGCTGATGAAATGAATTATCAGAACTGCTGCCTTTTTAACTCAAGTATGTGTTATTTTCAATTCTAACACACATGCTAAACATCCCCTGAGTGCTTTTTTTGTGGCAGAAACGTCTTTTTTACAGCACTTTATTTGTACGAACTGCCTTGAATGTAATTATTATCCCCTAGTCGTTCTTTATTCCCGATTGCACAAGCAAAACCTTAGATGGCCCTTCTTGACCCCTTAAGTATTTCTAACTCATTCGTAGTTGCTAGTCTTTTGAGCTCACATGGTATTAGGCACCATAATATAGTAATGCGAATAGAGTGCTTACTTCTTACTTTAAAAGGAAACAGGTTGACTAATTAAAAAGGCAGAGGTTGAAATAAAAGTAACATGGGTCAGGGCATTTTCTTTTAACATGGCAATGAAATTTACATGTGTGCAGACGAAATCGGAGTTCACGGTGTAGATTTTGATAGCCTAGTTGGAGGATACCTGTTGCCCGCCTTCCACACCCAGAAAGCACCTTCGTTCCCGTTGGGAGGAGCCAAATGAGTCACGGACCCTCACACGTGCATGCAGACGCCCACTTATTTAGGAATCAACCAAAGGTCAAAGAGATCCTACTTATTACCCTTTATTATTGTAATAGGATTTAATAATCATTTTAACTTTAGGCAAACAAATTAGGAGAGAAGGCTACTCCATTGGGTTTCTTGCATTCACGTCAAACCGCACTGAGGTCTTTGATAATAGTGCTATGAAATTTCGGTCAGCAAATATTTCATCTATGGACAGCAGCTGTGACACAAGCTGTTATATAATGCTCTTACTTCATGGAAATTACAATTAGAAACTACTTCCTTAGCTGAAACCCTGTCAGACTAAGCCACACAGTAAGGAGCGTCATTACTAGTTATCACATTCAATTGGCTGTGATTCCAATTCATCAACAATTATTGAATAAATGAGCGTTTTATTTTAGATGTTTTCTTACTGTGAAGGAAGAGAAAATGGCATGGCGACACAGGACTCCAAGGAACCGGTGATTTCAAGCAGACTGAGTGCTCTCCTTTTGGTGGATACTGCCGCTCTGCTTCAAGTACCTTTATCTCCCTATTTTATGTGCACTATATTTACGTTTATTAGTGCCTGCTTCTACAGTGGAAAAATTGTCCAAAAACAGTACATTCACTTTTTCTCAAAAATGATATTAGACACTCAAGTGTTTCGTTGAAGTCAGTCTGGCAAAAAAGACAGTGATTAATATAAAATTCTGTAATGAAACAATTTTCTTGTAGAAACTGATCTGATTATACTTTAAATAGGTCTGGCTTGAGAAAAGTGCAGCGTGAAGTACAACTGTATGTAATTTTTTATTGCCAAGTAATTAAACAGATTTAGCAAGATTTGGAACATCAAACTGAGAGTAACGATATATCTGTAAAGTAATTTTGGCAGTTTAATTGAAAATCAGTGCATGTTTTATTGTGGTTAGCACTACCAAAAAAACTCCACTTTACGCCGGAACTAGAAGGCTTTCGTGTAAATCAAATTTTGTAAATTACAAAATTTGTAAATCCATTGTTCTTGCAATGTATTGAGACTTCATCAAGCGGTTCTATGAAATTGTATTATAATGATCAGAAAGCCATCAATGTAGGTGTAAAATTCCACAGAACTCATGACTCAAATCTGTAAAATTGAACAAACGATGAAGTATATTTGTTTGCGCATGTTTCTCTGTAGACAGCGGAGGATTTAACCCGTGAGTGTATTTGCCTCAGATGGAAATGAACATTGATTTTTATTCACTATTTTAACCAACGTAGCAATTGGTTTATTTAAGTACAACCAAAACCTTTACCACACAAAAGATTTTTGTATGAAGCGGCTAAATAGTGTAAAAATGCCGGTTTATTATGCTATGCAGGAAAGAAGTTTGGTGTCAGGGATCGCCATCTCACCGTTAAGTAACAATCAGAACGTTTTTGCCCTGGCATTTTAATCCACTTCGTGAACGGATTATTGTAGCATGCTTAGTACAGTCTCGACGTGGTAGAACGAGTCGCTAGAATGATCCTCTGTCTACATCACTTGACGCAGGTATTGTGCGCGTTTTTTAAATCGTTTAATAGAATTGTCCACGTTGTGTTATATTTCACAAAAAAACTCGAAAAGGTAAGAACCATGCCAAGTCAGATCAGGTGATGTATTGTTTGGATACAGTTGTGTTCAGAAGCTCAAATCTAGACCTAGTAGTCATGTCAGATGTGATATTTTTTATTTAAGTTAGCGAATACTTAAGTTCTGAAAAATACACAGACACTAAAATCAGTTGTTATGTCATTGATTATTTTCACTTTAACACTTCTACACCAGATGCGTCTCTACCATCAAACAACTTGTTTAAATTATATAATGAGGCAAGTGAGTCTTTCGTTCACAGATTGGATTTTTGGAATTTTCTAATGTTTTTGTTCAACTATAAATTGTTGAGCTTCTCTAGAGTTCAAATTTAAGGCAGAAGATAAGGGGTTATAATATATAGATTCAGTGCTAGTTTGCAACTTGGTGTCACACAGTGTGCACTTCCGCTGCCGGGACCTCTGAAAGTCCAATCAAAGCTTCTAAATTTAAGAACTTACTCTGATCTGAAGTCGACATTCTTTACAAATTGCTTTAGTTGATTTGACAATGAGCTAGTCCCAAGGTACTGCAAATTTGGTAAGGCCAGCATTGCAGACGTCATGACTCCTGAGTCATAGTTTTGCTTTGAATGATCCACAATGTGAATCGACTTTTGGGCCTAATTTGCTTATTATTGTCACGACCAATTTGTGTAAACCCCTTTTTTATAATTTGCAGAACATAGACACTGGTTGGATTTATGGCTATTTTTGTTTAATTGCCTTTTTTTCGATCAGGACCGAAATTTTGAAATGATCACATAAGAATGGTTTTTGCCCTAATTTTATATAAAAGGGCAATGCAGACTTTAAGGTAACTAAATTCATTAGATTTGCACCATGCATTTTATCAGTCCGTTGTCACTCTGTTAGATTGTGCCACACTATCTCGTCTCGCCATGGGTAAGATGCAGGGTTTCTGTTTCCTGGAATCCTTACGTGAGGCAAATCCAGACTGGGGTATCGAACCAAAGACGTATATGTTGAGAACAAAGGTCAGAGGTACAGAGTAGGCGGCCAACGGAAAATTGGAGTACTAAGTGACTCTTTCTGGACAACATGCTGCTTTAAGAGTGAATAGACACCATGGTATGCGTTAACGCAAAGTATGACAATGCAAATGAACCGCACTCACAATGTGGAGGAGCCGAATATTATGTCCCTCTAATGAACAACCATGGTGATGAGATGAGATGCTAGGTGCCTCTTATCTTAATTCATTTTATTTATGCATTAAATATGATTCCCAATGCTCCAAAACATGGCACCATGCAAGGGCACAAACCACCATCCGAAAACCTACCACACCTCAACAAAACTTCGCCACTAAAAGTTAACCTGGTTCCATTAATTTTCATTCATTTGAAATGATGTGAGTTTATTTGAGTTAGGGTCACCTTTTGCTGCCTTTTCTACTTGTCAAAATTATGCGCATTGTAAATCACTCTTTAATTTAATGGAAATCCTCCATTTTTTTGGAAAAATGACAACAAGAAATTAAAAAGTGCTAAGAGTCATTTTGGTCAGATTTTACATGTACTACCACAAAACCACTGTTCCCATAGTCGAATTTAGCCATATTTAAACAGCAGAAAAGATAAATAAAGCAATATCTGCAACCTATAAAGAAGCATACCAAATAATCCACAACGATAAACAAGCAATTATAGCATCACGATGGCACCGCCTTTACATTCACTTGCTTCCATCTTATCTATATCATTTTGGATTTTTTGAGAATCAGTTCTTCATGCTTGTCAATGCATACGATGGCTACTGATTTCGAAAGCTAACAGTTAAGGCTCTGAATAGAACTTTTTATCAGAGGATTGCATTTGCATCGCTTCACAGCTTTGCAAACAATATAAGCCAGTCTAAGAATGGTTTCCCAAGAATTTCGCATCTTGGAGCCAATAGAGGACCTGTTAAACGATAACTTTTTAAAATGATTTAAGAATCAAAAGCTTCCAATAAAAGATATTAAATTTTTCTTATATAACTTCATGAGCCAAAAATTTTATTTAACTTTAGGGCCAATGTTTGGTACAATGTAAAAATTATCAACTTCTTTTTACAATCGAAATTGGATTTTGACAATGATTTCGCGCTTTTTTGTGAATAGCATAGAATCGACTTGCCATAGACAACATTTATTAATACTATCAATTCCGTTGGCTTTGTTTGATGAATGTCTTAGGCGACAAGTTGCATTTTCCCATCTAAATATCTACAAATATTTTTAAAGGTTGCTAAATAAAGTACCTGTTCCCTTATAAAATTAAATGCTTAATAAAGAGGTACAGCGTATAGGTGAAGAAAGATGATGTTTCACTTAAGAATATAAAACGTTTTTTCAACAGGACCTATGTGCAGTGAGAGAAGACAGGGCGAAGTTGAAAGTGCAGAACTATATAATGGAGAAGGAGTTACGGGCGATCCAGTTGAGTCTTCAAGGGCACTGCCTCTCGGAGTCAACGTTGCGATCTCAACTGAATGTTTTGCAAATCAATCGCAATCTGCAAATGCCGAAAACTCCAGAGCGCGTAGGAGGACAACAATCCTTAACACAGCAAATAGAGGTGAGATTTGGCTTTAATTCATAAAATTCGACCAAAACTTGCAGGCGTAAGGTGAATTTGATTAACTATAGTATGTTAAAATTTATCGCACATCTCAAGAATTACTCTGATGTGCCTGACCTCTATCATGGTGTTTCGTTAAAAGTTTTGTGTAAGATACTGATATTTCACAAAACGTAAATACACGATTCCATCGAGTATAATTTTGGTATGAAATAAGGCCCTACTGCGCCTTTGCGTACCACAGTTCGCTCGCTAAGATAAAAGTTTACCTTGGGTAATGTAGATAGCTGCCGGTTTACGGTGCAAACCTTAAGGCCTGTTTATCCACATTGTTTATCATGAGACTTCAAACGGTTATGTAACTATGACTGACGGACTTCCGTCTAGGTCGAACAAGGCCCCATTCATGCGCAGCGCTAAGACATTCACATAAACTTAAGACGATGGAGCGTCTTTATGTCTTCTTTTATTTTCAGTGGATATGGCCATAGCTGTTGTGCATATTATTTTAGACAATTTTTTATTCTCATTTTCCTACATGGTCACATCTCTAAACGTTCCAGTGGTCAAATGAAAAACCCAATATCTGGCGATGTGTCGGGCTCTTTGGGAATTTGAATGAGTGAATGATAGAGCTAAGCCTATGTTGACCTTATTCCTGTCGTTCATCACTGTAGCATTAAGTCAGTCTTAGCCTTTACTAGTGGTAGTTTGCAGTAAGTACTCAAGTGATTCAAAAAAGGAATTCGTCTCGTAACATTGAGTCGGACCGTCACCGATTATCTAGAAAAGGTAATCGACGGGATACGGATTTGGAGCCAATCGCTCCTAAGTTAATAGTTTCAAGTAAGATGACGTCTAATTCATGGCTTTAAACAAATAAGGATATAATCAAGATAAAAATTGTTTGAATTTTTGAAACATAACAGTTGCTCGATTTGTGATTCCCTATTCAGAAACTACAGGCGGCATTCGAATCTCTTCGAAAAGGGACCGAGCAACATCAGGCACAAAGTGAGGAGCTCGTCAATGATTTGAAGCAAGCGAACGCGGCTCTCATAACAGCTTTTGAGAAGGCAAAAAATAAGTATCTTGCTCGAATTCGAAAACTTGAGAGCCAAGTAACAACACCGATGTCCGTGCCAAAGGTGCCCCCAACAAGCGCTCGACCCCCGGTGGTGCCCGCACACAAGGGAGGCCGCCCGCCCCTGCCGCCCGTGTCACCTTCGCCCACTTCGGACGTCTACGAGGTAATTCAAGATTCTCATGTTCCCCCACCCAACGCGTTCATCCCACCAACCACCTGGTACAGTTTAAATCAGCGTCAAGATGCTACCACCAGCAACCCAGCGAACAGTTACTCTATGGTCAAAACCCCGTCCTTCTACCCAAAGCATCCCAGACCTGGAGGATAATCCTGTCGCAATAACTAGCACTACAAAAACGCAACCGTGTCGCTTTCTGCCCCTTCTCTTGTCCTAAAACTACCGTTCCTGCTGTAAAAATAAGCTTTTCCTCATCTCTTATCTACCTTTTCGCACCTACCTTCCCCTAACTTTAACATATGAAGTTTTCTCAATATGGTTTATGCAATAAAGATGGCGATCTAATGTCTTATGCTGGACACCCTATAGGATGCTATTACACAAATTCTTTGGGGGCTCAAGCACGTGTGTGTACCGCACAGAGATGCGTCCAGAAGGTACTGAAAATCTGTGAATGGCAATCTGCTGTCGGAGAATGCACCACGGAAATTTAAGAACCAGATGCGGGCGGCTGCAGGTCTCCCACCCAAGTTACGATAGGTGTGTTGACTAACCAGGTATGCCTGACCCAGGTAGTCCAGCTTGCCATAACTGCCAAACTCGAGTAAACCCGACACTTTTGGAAATCAAGTTTTTACCGATGTCACCAGGTAAACGTGAAAGAAGGAGTAAGAGAAGAGCCTACTATTTACAACTATCAATGTATGGTGAATTCGTGACCTCGTAATACATCAGCTCCAACGGGTGCAAGAAACCATGTTATATGAATATACTCAGACCGTGGTGTTGGCGTTTGAGCAGTCAGGAAGTCAGAGGTCCGAAAAGGCGAACTTACAAATTGATGAGAACGGGGAAATCAATCGCTTAAAACCTGTTATGCATTTCCAGGTATCGTTAAGATATGGTAAACAAATGGGAAGCCGAGTTTCATCACTGCATTCGGGTACCAAACTGATGTTCAAGCGCAACGCGACAGTCAAATTTCTAACTGATACTTCATTAAACACACGAAATTGGGTGGAGTAAGTCGCTAAATATGTTAATATAGAGTATTTCGTTGCTACAACGTTGGGGGAAGCTAATGCGAAAATGAGAGAAACAGCAAATATCACACTTAGCTCTGTAAGTTGTAAATCACACGGAACGTAAGCAGATGATGCGCTTAGTGCTTCACATACTTAAAAACAAACCAAAAAGGATAATTTCAAGCGTAGTGTCCTGGAATTGTTGCAATACCCAGCGAATAAGTTCTGGAAAGCTTTGATCTGCGAATGGGTCAATTTCAAAGGAGGTGGATTGCACAACTCTAGCTACCATTACGTAAAATAACCCAGAACATGGCGTTTGCAAAATGAGGTGCAAGTAAAGTGGGCCCCCAGACATATTTAACTGGATTAATACGTTTGTGCAGGTCAAGACATTACTTTGGCCCTAATGCTCCTCTGGTATAACCCCACAAGTTCAAGTGACTGATGTGCACTACTGTTTCAATAAAGATTTTGGTAAGGTTTACTCAGGCACCACTCTTCGATTTACTGGTTTTTAATTTATTACTTCTCCCAGCAAAAATCCTCTGCACATCAATACCATCATTTCCTGACATAGATTAAGGTCTGCTTTGTAATAGCCCTCCCCCAGTAGTTAGAAAAGTGCATGAATGCGTTGCAAAATTAATGTGAAAATTGATTAATGGTTCCTACTTAACATGAAATTATCGGTTGGTTTGCGCATTAATGCTAGAATTCTATAGGAGCATTTAATTTATTTTAATCTGAAAAACATGGAAAACACGCATATGGCGAAGGTGTTGCTGTCGTTGAGGTAGAAATAAATTTACATTTCCTTCCTTGTCCTGGGACTGGCGTCCGTACACCAGCAAGGCAGATCAACTGAAAAGAAAAAAAGTGGGCGAGTGAAAGAGCACCGATGCCAAGAAGAATTAGGACCAAAGGGACAGTTACAAAAGAGAATCTGATTAATGATTAGGCATTTTCAGGAACCCTTGGCTTTTTGATCATTTCATGCAAAGAAATAATTGAATCCGATAGAAATCACCAAACTGCTGATGGATTCAAATCTGATCTGAATAATTCTCGTTTTTTTAGTGAAAAAGCGTTTCCTGAACAGATTAGGATTAACGATAGAAAACACGTGCATAAAATCATCAAGATGAGGAATTCTCCGGCAAAAAGCGTGTATTAATTCCAGAAAACATTTCCTTATACCTAATTCAGGCTCACATGAGCAGTGAGAAACGGAAATTTGTAGAAACGTCCAAGACATGAAACAAAACTAAACATGTACATGATTTTAATCATAACCCCAACCAATTTATGATACAAACGAGGCCTAACAACAGGAGCGAAATTCCTCTTAGGGGAATCTACAGGAATATGCAGTAAACTTTCGGACTCCGAAATCAAGTTTTCCTCAGAGGATTGGAGTGCCAATTGATTGTGAAATATGGCGACATCGCATTTTTGTGTAACAAAAACCCACATGCAAAGGCACTTAAACTAATTAGCATTTATAAGTAAACGAGACATACCTGTAATAGGGAAACACTTAAATCGTTGTTTGTATCTTTGAATAAAAAACCGGATTCGTTCCTGAATTCTAAAAAAAAAGACGCAATGAAATTGTGATCAATTCATGGAGAAATAGGGGGGGGGTGTTGATCAGAATCTTCAGTTGCTTTTGGCAGCAAATGTGTACTGCTTGCAGTCATCATAGGTGATTCAGGTTGTGAAATCAAATCGGGCGACCAAAGAAACTAATGTCGCGTGATGCCGCTGGTGCTTTTGTCTGTCTACTCTGGAGTCCGACAGGGTATTGCGCAGACACGCAAAGCCGATGAGTCAGTCGACGATAAGGGAGCGATTAGCTTTGCCATGTGCCTTACCATACTTTAAGATACTGTTCCAGAAGGCATTGCTTAGGAAATGATAACAGGTTACATATTTTTCCCGTAGCTTCAAATTGTGACAAATGCTTAGCATAGAGCCCCGTAATGGTTATTTTAGAATTGAAAAAAACTGGTAATGGAGTGGATTTTGAAATAAATTTCCAACCAAGATCAAAACTAAGTCGATTTAGGCTTAAGTAGGTACACTCTTGACAACTAACGCTGTTTTTAACGCGGTGATTACTGGATCAATAAGGAACTGGAAGACCAAAGACGAAGTGTTTTAATGAAATCCAAATGGAAACTGGGCAAATCGTTAGCATTTTCAAGCTCGTGATAAAATGCACGGGAGAACATCATTGTTGCTAGAGTTGAGGAGGTTTAGAGAAGCACAACGACCTTGACAAATATGCATTAAGCCTTGTGGCGAGCACAGTTATCAATCATGAGCGAACGCAGTTAGCAAGAGTCAGAGAACACGATTCAGTCGGTCTTAATGAATGCATTTCACGCAACTCCGTTTGTTCAGAGATCGGTGCTTAGCGAAGCTATATAAACGCATCTGCTAGCCTGTACACGACACACTCCGCTACTGCTTTAATAAATTGGTTGAGCTACTGGTTATCTGCAGTTCTGCTCTACTTTCGGTCGGGCCGCGTCAACATAGATTGTCGGCCCGGGTGTGGTTTCTAAAACCGCACCGGGGCCCACTACAGTCTGTTGTGTGGAGGGCGTTTGAGTAACGCACACTTCAGAACCCGAAATAACAAAGGTGAAAAGAAAAACAGCCACCTACTCTGGGCAGGCAAAACACTTCTGATCCTCTTCAAATGGCCTCGGTGGAGCTTCGCACAGAAGACACCGAAGTAACAGCGGGTGAGGATCAGCATCTCGAGACGTTACCACAATGAGTCGAGATCCAATGTTCTTTAGCAGAAAGGCCACGTGAAGTAGGGAGATCGCTGGAACGCCAGTTGACTTATTGGGCTGAATTTTGGATGAATATGAAATGAAACCAAAGGACGCTGTTCGGTTTAAAGAATATTCAAAATGCTAAAAGTAAAACTAAAAACATCGAGGACTACCCAGAGGGCAGTGCAGACATAACAGGACCCCTTTTTCTTATTGATGCAAATTTCGAGCCTCAGTCGTGAAGTTTTGAAGTCCATAAAGGTAAGATGAATATTTTTATCTTTTATGGCTACCAAAACTAGGAGGGGCCAGCACAAAAAGTAAACGTTGCTATAATCTGTTGTTGCTATTATGAAGTATATTGAATCAAGCTGAATCATGCTAGTTCCTTTTATAACTGGCAGATGCTTGTATTTACGTATTTATGTACTTGAAGAAGGGCAGGATGATTGTCATCATTTAAAAAAAATTGATTATTAAAATACACTGCAATGCTGTGAAATCATGTGAATTATGGATAAAAGTTAAATCTTTTCCTTTATGGCACCCTTTCGTGAAAAATTGGTCCTCATTTCCGTTGTTGTAAAAAATTGGCAGCAATTTTAAGCAAGCACCTGATGAGTTTAAAAAAGAAACAAATGCTATACTATTTAAAAATTTCACAAGCGAATTACTTAGATATAACATAATTTAAGAAAATATGCGCATTGCATATGAGGAGCCGTAAATAAATGCATAACAATGGAATTGTGTGGTAGACTAAACAGAGCGACTTGATCACATATTATTTTGAAACAATTACCACCTGCCAGATAAGGAGGAGTCACATGGGGAGTCCGTTTTTGCGCCTCGAAAATTCCTTGCCCATTTTATTAAAATGCGAGCAACACTGCCAAACAGTCGGTTTAACTTTAGCAAAACGACGGACACGCAGTTACCTTGAATATTGAAAGCGCTAACTACTTGAACTTGAGCGCCTAGTAAGAGACCTCGCAGCGTCACTTCGCTTACATCCGAGGTCTGTAAGAAGGTCAGATTGCGAGGTAGCTGAACGTTAACTAAAGGTATCGAAAACAACGAATTTGACCCACGCAGCTATCATCAGCTCCTGACCCTGTTATTTAGGCCATGCAAATTATGACAGGAGTACCGCCAAGTATGTTTGCTCAATGGATGGCCACTGTGACGCACGCACCACTTCACTGATGATGGCTGCAATGCAAGCAAACTCGTAGCAATGGATTTGCACACAATGCTTTACAGATTTTTAGGGCACAAAGTGCCAAATGAGGACAGACGGTGAAGCTTCCCACGACTAGAATGACTGGGTTAGAAAAATTACTTAACTGTGCTTAGCGCAATTAAGCGATTTGACGACACTAATACGTCAGGTTCATGCCTTTTCAGCCAAGCGAGGCAAAAGACTCCCCTGCCACACACACACTCTTCTATATTCACATCAGTTAGCAATTAGGCAAAGGAGCATTGCTGGTTTCGGTCAAAGCACTTCAATAGTAACTTGCACCTGTGTGGACGCACCATCACCGCATTAGACGCATCGAATGAGGTCAGCCAAGCAATCAAAATGTACGGTTATTATGATTACTGTGTCACTAATGATGAGGTCAGTGAACTGCTTGACTTTATGACTAGTGACCAGTTCTCACGTGCACTAAAAACGACCCTTTTACCAGCACAAACTATGTGCTTCTCTTGAAATACTTGGTAAAAAGCCAAGGCTGTGAGCATCTTTGTAACTGTCCATATCGAGAATGAAGCTACCGAAGTGCTTTTAAGTCTATACAGGAGGAGTGATTAATGGCTCACAGGCTCGGTGAACAGATTTAATTCGTGTGATTGTCGGAACCGCAAAAGGTTTTTCTAGCTTTTCTAACATGCTGTAACTACTTTAACAAGGGTGTTCGAGTCAAACAAATCGGTGCAATATTGCAAAGATTTTGCTTCCGTTGAAAGCCAAGTGCATTGCAAAAGTAATGGCAAAATGAGACCAAATAAGCTAGGATTAGACGGTACAGGGCACTCCACACCTAGTGGAAAAATAACACTAATTCATTGTTCCAACTACGTCTGCATTTTCATCAAAAAATGTCTGCTGCTGCTGCGTGTAGTCAAGGTACCTGGGGCTGAAAAGGAAGCAGCTTTAACTGACGGGCGCAGACCATGTAAGTCACAAAATAGATAGAAGATGAATGTACCCTTATTTAGCGATGATCAGACTGATGTTTCAAATAATATACACCTAAGTATTTAGACAGCCTACAAGATAGTACCTGGCTAAAACAATGGGACAAGTATGATGGGGGGGCCTGTAAAAGGTAACAACAGTTTGTCGGTTTAAAACAAACCTCCTCTGCGGCAGATCCAAGGTTAATGAGCACAAGGTCTGGCCCGAAAGCATAACTCATTGGGAGCACAATAGCGTTCATGATGGCTAGGACATTGGCAACGGTGTGAGCACACCCAGACACGGCTTCAATTTGACAGCACTGGGAAGTTTGAAGGGGCAGAGTGATCCAAGTAGTCTGCGACTCGCCAGACTTAGTAGGACTGAACGACTCCAAGGTAAATTCAGGCGTTGCAGAACAGGGAGAACAGCGAAACGAGAAAACAAGAGTGCTGTCAAAAACGAAAAACTCGTTTACTTGAAATTCAATTTTCGCTCAATTTCTCATGCTTTCTTTCCATAAATAAATCTCACACAATTGCAATCTAGACAGAAACCAAATAGCAGAGCTTACCGACAGTCTATAATTGTGTTCTTAGACATTTCTATGCTCTTTAAATCTGTCTACAAAACTAAACGCACACGGAATAAACGTGAAAAGAGGAGAGTAAAACTTAAAACAATTACAATTGTGGAAAAATAGGTATACTGGTTGGAGTTCATCTCCACTCAAAATTCTTGCTAAAAGTTCATTCTTTTTCCCTTAAAGCCCAATTAGAGAGTTCTAAGTTGAAATAAACGCGCATTTTCAAAGCCGCTAGCTTCTTGCTCTCAATCGCCATGCCGAAACCACGGAATGGCTTCGGCTACTTGTGCAGCCTAAGGCGAAGACGTCATCATGACGTGAGCGACTAAGAAACAATGCGTCAATTCCGCCCTCAACGGCAATCCCAGCTCCGACCGCCCCACCGGTTCCTCTATGAGGATTGTTTGAACGCGCTTTTAAATTAGAACGGATGCAAAAAACGCGAGTGTTTATCGTGCTAGTAAATTGAAACCAGACACCACCTGGAGTTAGTGGGCCAAGTTCAAAAGATAGGAGCACGAGTGGGAAATCGAAGACACTGATTCGCCACAAATTCCAGAATAGCTTTGTCAACGTCGGCGAGGAGTGGCCCCTTTACATGAGTTTCAATTACAGGAAGCTAAGCTGTGTGCCAAGCAGAATCCTCAGTTTTGCAGGATAAAATGAATCAGTACCCCTAGGCTGTCAAATTGCACCGTTGCGAAAAGACTATTTAACAGAAAGTGCCTGTTCATCAAGGACAAGTGACTGAAGCATGACAATGACCAGTCAGATACAGTCTAACTCATTCAGACGGCCATTGTGACATTCGCCTAAGAGGTTTTGTTGCATTTTCTGCCTGTTGCGTACTTTGTCATGCCAAAATACCCCCTCGCTAGTTTCATCAGAAACTGGATGAGCGGTTTGATGACTGAAAACTGTGAGGAGGTCCAACGTTGGCGCGAGAACTAATTCAAGACAATTTCAGGAGATTTTGGCAAAATTGATTCAACAGATTAGTGAGACGATGATTGGAAGTTTCAAACAGATGTAGGGAATATAGGGTTGAATAATATCTTTAGTTTTGTTGTAAGATTGTCGTTATGTAAAAAAAAAAAATAAAAAAAACACGAACACACGCATCAATGTTCAAAAAAACGAACGGCAAAAGTTAGAAGGTCACATGGATAGGTCTTAAAGCATAACGATAGAGATTTGATTAATAAACTGCTGTCCTATATGATAAAGTGGCACGTCGCAAAAAGGCTACTGGTATTTTGTACATAGTTGTGGGTAAGGGCACAGAAGTAATTGGCATTCATTCCAATCAAACTGATTTCATAGTCGTTTCGGTAAAGGCAATTCAGTACCTAATAATGATCTATGAAACGAAATGGACGCAATGATCATAGTTTTTGGATTAATTTAATAACAAGTGCTACCCTTAACTTATGTTTCACAGGCTCTATTTGACAGCTTCCAACGAGAAGATATTCTGCAGTATCATAACCACAAAGTGTAATAAAATCCAAGTTATTGGAAAAGACATTGAGATTTGTGCTATAGTACCTTAAGTTATTCATGTGATTGATGTCCCATTGTTGACTCTTTAGGGAATCAAACGTCCGAGAATTTAGTCCCTCTTCCTCTGTAAAATCCATATACAAAAGGCGACATATGGTACCAGGTGGCTCGAGTTGGTTACTTTTGGGTTTTTGAAGTCGCGGACGCTTCAAAACCAAATGCTGTGGCTCAGAGCCTCGCAGACAGGCTTCTGGTAAGAGAAGCACTGGTTGACGAAATTGCCTGAGTAAACGCGGGGACACTTTTGATAGTGCAACCGCAATCGCTACCATCGGTGGCTCACTCGTAGCCAATAGTGCAGCTGTAAACTACAATTACATGCTAATGTAAGTCTGATTGGGTGAAATTGGGAGATGCTTGAACAGTAAACGTACTTCGTTTTTAAAAAGACTTGTCAGTGCTCCTTCGAGTGTTTGAGCAGCTCCCTCAAGGTTGGTTCCGTACGCACTGAATCTCGGTGTTTTTTGGGGCTTTGAGTAATTTGACTATATCAAAATTTAAAACAAAACCGTGGGTTGAATACATCATAAAAACTGTTAGTTCGATTTTACAGTACTAACCTGCGATGGCACTGGAAACGTATTCGCACAAAGCTGAAGTGTACGGTAAACGTCGTTATTCGACCTAAACACAATTTGGGGAACATGGCAGAATGAAACCGTCATTGTTTTATTTACGCATCAGTTACTCAAAAGTTGGGGCTTTTTGCATAGGGCCCTCAATGACAATTAACACCACGTTTAATAAGTGCAGAGTCTGAGGATAGCATATTGCTCTGCTTAAAAAGTGCACTTTCTAAGCAAAGAACCTAGGAAATTCGGTATTAGTTCAAGTAAGTGAAACATGAGTGTTGAAGCATTACGAAAATTTGACGTATTAGCACAAATCGGACATTTCTAAGGTTCGTGGGGCACTAACAACAACTTCGAATGGACCTTAAAAGGAAAAGTTAGCCAATAGTTCTTAAATCCGTACTGAGGGTTTTGTCGGCAGCGGTCAGAGCGCTGATTTACATGCAAATGAATTTTTTTTCTTTAACTAATAACTATCGGTCAGGTAATGAAAAACAAAAAAAATGAAATAGGCGAATCAAACCGCTTCATCCGCAGTGCGGAAGATGGACCAGGGTAGTTGCGTTGAGAGCTGGCATCAACTTGAAGCAGTACCAGGAGATCTGCGAGGGTGGACTTCGGTAGAGGTGCAGGGAAACACTTTTGAAGCAGTCTCCGGCTGAACGCTATAAGTGGCTTTGGTAGCTTCGGATTTATATCCGGCCATATTACACCTTTGACAAGAGGCCTAAATATTTTTTTGAAGTAACAACAATAACAACAACAACAACAACAACAAAGTAATAATAATAATATAAGCGTTTTGGGTATATGTGATTGGAGAAAAAAAGCACTGATAATATCCCAAATACCCTTGAATGATGAAAAGCGCAACCACTCAAATGAGAGGTGATTGTCTATTAAGAGGATACAATAAGCGATGTGGTTTACATGAAAGCGGAAAGCAATGAACCAGCGTCCATCGACGATACCAAAGCGCAGGTCACTCATCTAATAGGATGAAGTGTTACGTCGACAGGTCTAAGTATTACTGAATAGTCCGTATTTCATTGAAAATCGAACCATCTGACTGTTATTAAATTTGACCTTTATTTGGACCAGCTCTGTCCTTGTCAAAATTATGCAGTTGATTTAACCAATACTGATACAGCTGATTAAGAAAAAAAGGTTTGAAAATTAAGAGAAATCACATTGTGCTGATTACAAAAGCCCATTGGCAGTGTAATATGCTGGTACTCAAACAGGCTTCCTGCCTAAAGCTCCGAATGAAATTAACTTCGAAAGACTGTGAATCTTCCAGATAAGGAACTAATGATAAAGTAGTGCGAGGAGTCAAAGAGAACAGAGGAACAAAGCATACCAAGAATTTTGGGGAAAACGAGATAGGTCTGGCCGCAAAACCGTTCCGCTTAACCCTGGGATATTCAGACACCTCCAGTACTGCCGGAGAGCCACAATTGAGGAAGACAATGTGCGTCGCACACTAGAAAATACATTAAAACACGCCATTTATTGACAGTCCAGCTTTAACTAACACATATAAAGCACACGGGACAAAATTACTGCCCTGTTCGATTAATAAATTTGCTTTCTTTTGAAAATAAAATTAAAAGGCGAGAAGACGCACCTTCGTGAAGGAGGCCCTTGAGCCTGAAGTGGGGGAACGGCATCACCAAGTAGGGATTTCAGAACATGGACACAACCCTCCTCAAGGCTATCTAGAAAGTAACCACCCTTCATGGGGGAGGGAAGAAGCAGGAAAGCCTGGTTTGTTAATTGACCATAGTTTCTTCACTCAAATGAGCTAGTGTTTTATTTTTCAATTCACTAATTTGTGGATCAAATGTATACATTTCGTGGCACACCGTAGCAACCAGGACACCTATGGTGTCGCCCCCTACCAGCAGTGTAGGGACTCGGTCTTCCAAGATCAATAGAAATGAAGCCAAAGGGCTTAATAGAAAAGCCTCCCATCAATCACATGCAGTTAAAGTATGCAAGCGCAAAGGCAAGCGGCATCAAGGTGTAGTTCGCTAAACTTCTGAAACACCATTACAATTCGAGGTAATCTGCATGTTACGCAATTTTAAATTAATGTGAGGCTCTTTACTTTTCAATTGGACAATAGTTTTTAGGACTACTTGGGATTGAATTGATGTGGGACCCCACACACCTGAAATGGTGACCATTAGAATAATGTCTGCAGGTAAAGTGAGCATTGTGACAAACTTACTTCGAGGACAACAACAATCTTGCCTCCAGCTAGAGTGCGAAGATGATGGGTCATATGGCCGTAGCAGGCGGGGCTTATCCACATCTTCCCCTAAATAATAAATCAAGTTGTTAAAGCATTTACTTTAATTTAGTTAGTAGAGTATTAGTATTATACCTCTGCATTTCCGACGGCAGCATCAAAGCCACAAGACACAAAAACGATCTCGGGGTCAAACTAAAGTAGGGAATTCCGTTAATTCAAGCAGATTGAAAAACCAAGAACAAACGAGAAGTGAATTTTTACCTCGTAGGCGACTGGCATGATTATTGTGTGAAAAATGGCCAAAAAATCGCAGTCTGTCATTCCTGTCTAAAATGAGACCCGGGACTGAGAAAATAAAGCCAAACTACCTGCCACGCTCATTAATTATTAACGCATACCTTATTCAATGGGACATTTATGTTGAAACCGCGGCCAGCACCATCACCGATAAAATCAAAATCACCTTCCCGCAACTTTGGCCAAAACTTTTGACGCTCGTACCGATGAATAGATATAAAGAGGACTCTATTGTTTAAAAAAATTAGACAAAACACACTCACAATGCATTCACTTGCATTGGTAAACGAATCAAACGATTTCCCAAAGGCTGTGTGACTTTTGAATCTTAACTAAGCACATTTGAAAGGCATTTAAGGCCCCGTTCAGAGAAGGTCACATTGCATGGGCTGCAGTACTTTACCAGAGAGACGAGCCGCGGTTTGGTCTAACAACACTGTCTTGGCTGACGGAAGCAGCAGACGAGCCAACCGAGGGTTCCCACACGAACCCGCGCTGCTGGTCCCAAACCCTCGTGCCCCACAGGCAAATAAAAGTAGACTAGGAGCTCGCAGCGCCAATACGCCTTACATTCCTTGGTAGGCTTAGTTCGTACAACCGGGTGTTTGTACATTTAATGGTGCATTGAGAAGTTAATGAGTGTTAAAATACCTATTGTCATTATAGAATGCAAACTGGGTCCCTTGGCCTTGATGAACATCCCAGTCGACGATGAGAATCCGTTTGAACTGGGGAAACGTGGGTGTTTTCGGAGGTGGGACAGCCACTTCAGAAGGGTTCGGGCAAAAAGTGGACATTGGCGGAGAGCCAAGAAGATGTGCAGCCGCAATGGCTACATTATTGAAAAAGCAATAACCACAGGCTTCGTTGTACATTGCGTGATGGCCTGGCGGTCGAACAAGGGCCAATCCATTCATAAGCTTGCCAGATGCGACTAGACTTGCCATCCTCAAGACTGTTCCAGCAGCCAAACTGCTGGCCTCCCAAGTAAACTTGGTAAATGACAAAATCGGAAGGACAAATAGTAAACGATAAGGTTAATTTCAACTAATTAGTACGTGCATGCGTTTAGCCAACAAACCAACAAATCACGGCCTACAATGCTTTCAACGACACTGCATTAGATTCCACCCAAGAGGGTTTAATGCGTCAAAGCAACTTCTTGATCTCAGAAAAGAGGCCGTGCGTCCACCAAAGGAGTTACAGTCAGTGAAAGATAAATAATGTCTAAAAACGTTTGAACCACGTTAAATGAATCTATTTATGTGACACCCCATTAAAAAGAAACATAAATAAAAGAATTACATAAATGGCATCCAATTTTTCTTGTTTTTCATGTACATTCCCCTTAAACTTAATGTATTTCTACGTCTGTTTTTTTTCCAACATGGACCAAGTGATATGGAAGAGGAGGTGAACATGAAAGGAAGCAATTTGAAAACAAGGAAACGGCTTGAACGAAACAACTAAATTAATTGGTCCACGCAGCTTCTCAAATTTACGGTAATAGTAAGTGTGCTGGCTGCTGCAAATTAGTTTGCTAATTGAACTTTTCCCACTTTGCTCGGACGAATCCACACAGTTTGCTTTCAGATTATTAATTACGCTCATCGGTATCAAAACATTTTTTTGCCTACCGAACAAAAAAGTTGGGTAAACTAACCTAATTATATGGAATTACAAAAATCATAATAACGTATCTTGGTCAATAAAGAACTAAAATGTTCAAACCCAGTACAGATGCTTTTTAAATATTACTTCAACCAGATATATTACCGTCTATTCTAAATGGTGTTGACCAGAACTATTATAACTTACAGAATTGAAAAATACGCCGTCGTATTGTCCAGAGAGATCGTAAAGCTGCTCAGTGGTTAACTTTGCCGATTTCTTGACTAGTGAAACATACTCCTTCGAGTGCACACTCAGCAGAGCGCTTTCCGTGATATTGCGAGCCTAGTGCGAGGTTACAGAGTAAAATAAAGGCGTAATTAGCAAATTTACATTCGAACTTCAACTTGCGGATAAGTCGGCGTCCGTGTTAAGTGGAGCCGACAATCCACCTAGGTCCTTTGGGTCATACCTGTTAAGTCTCGAATTACATTAAATACTTTGGTAGAAAGCGAAGGAAAGTATGATATTAAGCGAAAGTCAAGGCCGATGATGGCAATTTTGAGAGTGTTTAGGTGGACCTGCTTAATCAGTGTGCCTCCATGGGGAGGATCCAACTTACAAGGCCACACTTAACAGGTAAGTCATTTAATTGCCGATTTTTCGACGGACCATTAACCAAAACACTCGAATCTAGTTTGGTATCTACAGTCCAAGTGAAAGTATCACACGGACAACGAACCAATATTGCCGCCTTCTGTGCGCTGTCTGGACCTCGAAGTGGTTGGATAAACAAGCCAAAATGATAGAGAACCAAGCTTTAAAAGGATTGCTTTGAACCCTCACATCATGTTCCTTAGTAAAAAAAAGGCGCTCACTAACTTAATAGGAACATTTTGAGGTGCGCAACGATACATCAAATGCCCACATAGGGAGACACGTATACTTGAAAAACTAACAGGCACGAGTATACAGCGTTCCATGAGACCGTAGTGTTGAATGCGTGAGAACGGACGTGAAAGACGTGCGGGGCACTCCTGTTCCTCGGGGGACCATTCGTGACGATGAAGCATCATTCGTTCATCGTAAGAAATCCCAGTACCTCTACAAGGAAGCGACTTGGCAAGTTTCTGAGAAGCTATTAGTGATTTCGTCAGACCCACTGAATTCCAGTGGAACTACTCAAATTATTACTAAACAAGAACAATCATCTGTGTGAGTAATCTTAGATTTTTTTCTATAGAATTGGGCCAAATTTATTATCAGGGATCAATGGTTGTAGCATGAGCTTATCTTCCCAAGATACTTAATCAAAATTACTTATTCCAAATTAACTTGGTTCTTACAGCATACGTTGATAACCCGTGCAAGAATATAAAAGGCCATAAAAATCCACGTTTACAGAGCACAAAATCAACCGATCATTTAAAAAATGCACAATAGTAAATACAGGGAAGAGGAAAAATTCATTACCTATTCGAGTGCCTGTTTGGCGGCTACTACAACCAATGTGCATTGGTATGAGGCAATTAAGACGCAGATGGCACGTTAACATGTCAGAAACCACCAAGTTAATCAGAGATTTGCATAATTAAAGTCGGTGCCGCCTGGTCGTAAAGTTAGTTTCGTGGAAAAAAGGTGTGCATACGTCCCGGCCAAAACTTTTGGCTGGTTTGCTTGCTTATCAGAAAAACGTTTCCCACTTGCTCATGACACCACGTTACATGGGTGTCAGTGGAGGTCGAAGTGAGGCACTACCGAAACTGCTACAAAGTTAAAATGGTGTAATTGTGGTAGGCTACCGTTTGAGCAGTCGTCCCACATCAGCAAGAGAAGTCAAAACATTTGTTTCCCCGAAACATTTAACACTGATGCAAGTCATGTAGCAGAAGATGGTAAACAGTATTATTAATGGAAACAAGGACTTGGCGTAAACACCTTAGGAGACGTTAACACCAATTTTAAAGCCCACGAGTCTTAACAGAAAAGGAATTCGCTTCCGATCGCAAGAGACATTTGCACCAAATCAAAAGGTCGAGAAAGAGCAGATTTTTACTGCACATTTAAGACTTTTGCCAATTAATTGAGACTTCGATTAACTAATACATTCACTAGATGTAAGGTAGAAGAGGAAATGTTACTGCAGGAAGTCGTGTGGTAATACTTGCTGGAGCAAGCAACTGCTCACGCATTGAGGCATGACATTTTACAAATAATTTTCCGGCCTAAAACTAAGGGTTCTGTGGCGTAGTGGAATTCTTTGCAAAAGCAGCTAAGAAGTCCACACTGAACCGGCTTATTATACGTATAATAATGAAATAATCATCCACATGATACAAAAGTATTGCCAAAATATGTTTAAAAATTGATGGGCATACCCTTTGACATCAACTTGGGCAATCGGCCGACTGGGAGTCGAAACCGGGGAAATACTGCGTTTTTCTTTCATTTCAATGGATAAACGCAATTTCCGAGTTGAAAATCGCTGGTTTTCGAAAGAGGCTTCACGCCCGGAAGCCAATGTCTGAAGTTTGTGGCTTTTCCGCATTCCATTCGTGTCCTAAAATAAACTTGGGGTTAAAACTGAACTAATGTGTCTCTGTACCATACAGGCAAATTTATTGATATTTTAAATTTTAATTTAGCGTGCGGCGCGCGCGAGCGAACTTGTACCATGAAAATGACAACCTTACAAACAGCCACGTTTAACCAGAAAAAACTCTGGCATTGAGGCAGTGATTGCAGCCATAAATTTCACGCAAGACCCGACAAACTCACAGACCACCGCACCACGGATTATAGGAACAACGGCCCAACCATGGACTAGGTATCATAAGGTAAGCACAATCTCAAGTGCAAAGGTGACACGAAGCCAATAATAAGAAATACCACCTGCTTAAAGTCCACAAGTAGCCCTCAACCTCTCTTTCTAAACTTTCTACTACCAAAGTTGCTTACATAGTACTTCATGTTCCAGTACCACATCTAACAGAAACAAATCCATATTACATCTTCGAAGATGTCACTATCAGGAAATTTAACATTAACTGGTCATTTCAACGTCGATAAATGTGCAAAAGCAGCATTAACTAGAACACCTAATAAACACTCCAATAACACTACTATCGGAGATACTAAGGATACGGCAATCGTGAATTGGCTGATCGACATCAAGAAAGCAAGGTAGACTACCTAAATAATGACTGAGGTAGTTACTAGATGTCCGTGCAAAGCACAATCAGACCAAAATGTGAAGCTTTACCGGGTATTACAAGGAAGGGCCTATAGCTAGTTCCTTAGATAAGTACAAATAAGACAAGACCAGGTCAGCATCGTGGGTTGCAACGGCAGCCCAGCTCCCCGGCTTTGTGTCAACAAAACACTTCCCACAGTCATCGGACAGGCCGAAGCATTGCAAAAAGTGCATAAACGCGCAAAGTCGCTTGGATCATTGTCACACCAACTCCCCTCAATCCAAAATAATTTATTCATATTTTGACGGACACATACAGAGAATGCGCGTAACCAAGTCAAAGTGGCCATAAGGGGAGTAGATATATGAAAGAACTCAGAAGGTTCAAATAGGAGTATTCAACCCGCATCAGGTTGGCATCGTTTCACCGAATTTTGCAAGATAAGCTGTTCGTTTGGCCTCGAGCAAAATCTAGACGGAAAATACATGTCCGCGAAAAAAAAACATACTAACAAGTACTAGAGGTTTAGGTATTGGTCTAGTGAACAAACACTAATAGCAAATGTAAACCCAAATATTGCAAAAAGGTTACAAAACAGCCATCATTATTCGTCAGAACTCGACGCCATGTGTGCAATTAAACTAGACTCTAAAGCCAAGACAGATATTACCTAAATAGGCCGTTTTGTGGGCAAATCAGTTCACGACTTTTGCAACAGAAGACGACTCGGTTTGTGCATAAGACTTTCGCACTCGGTGTGAAGTTCATGGAGCTCATGTGTAACGAAAGGCATTGCAAGAGATATAAACACAAAAGTAACTAGGCTTGGGGTTGACATAAAACCGCATTATAGGCAGATTAAAATAACTGATAAGTAGGGACATTTTTAGTATACATCACTATTGTTTGTTTGCATAACTAAATGATTTTTAATTACACTTATGGGAAGCGTCAAAGGAGCTTAAAATCGAACGAGCAAAAGGCTTAGCTGAATCCTAGGGAGCAAGACTAACTTCGTTGTGAACGTAGCTATCACAAAAATAGCACCACGTTGACAGATCGGCCAAACTTAAAACGATTGGATGTTGGGTTGAGGAGTGATGTTCCAACATGTGGCCTCTTGCGTAACGTCCACAATAAACCTAAAAAGAAAAGCTTAAACGACGCGACCTATAACCATTCACAGAAACAATGAGACAGTTCAAAGTATTGCATACATCCAGAAACAAAATTGGGACAAAATAAATCGCAGATCGTGTCTTTCAAAGGGGTTTGTAAAAGACAATAATAACGCTTCCTTGTTCACCCTTAATTCATTCAGGGTTACTAGGTAATGTGTTCAAACAGAACGTCTGCCCTTTGCTGTTTGCAACTCAAGTTTGCCCAAAAGGTGTACTGCCATGCTTTAATATCAACATGAAAACAGATGAGTGGTTACACTGATAATTTACAAAAAAGCCTTCGATAGAGAAATAACTAGATAGATTCAACTACCTCGTAGCAAGTGAGACAAACCCAGTTTTCTTGACGGTTTTCGCACCGGTCACAGGGATTTGCGATTTCAGGTTGCCAGTGACTGGCAGACGTGACTTGCTCCAGATGCGGACACCAGGGAATCGGCTCAACAGCAAACACGCCTTCCAGCATTGGGTCAGCGGAGGCCTAGTTAACGAAATCGACGTGTATTAGATGTGCAGGCCAAAGAAGTAACCGTGAAATGAAATAAGGAGGCGCTATTGGAATTAACTCCAAATGAGCCTAAACTTAGTATAAATAAAAGTTCGATGTGCAACCTACCTACCTATTCTACCTAAGCAACTACAGGTTCTGGTTTTGACCGCTGGTGGGAATGATTATGCATTTCAAATGGGCAGCATAAAAAACACTACCGCCACCGACTTGGAAATAATGTCATGATCAGGATAAAGACATCTTAGAACAACAATCCTAGCTGCTTAAAAAATAATAGCACCAACCTAGTTATCCCGATTTATTACCCTTACGCGGGAAAAATCTAGACTAAAATTAATTTAAAAAATCAACAATTCAATTGCCCAAGGGAGAATGCAATGAGGTGACTGTTATTCCAATTAAATTTGTACCACTATTCATTAAAAATAGCTCCGTTTCGCTATAAAGATATTGATCAGAGTATTTGAAATTTCGGCTAAAGATCAATCACATGACCAATATGTAACTTTGCGAAATCACTGTGAAAGAATTACTACCTATACTGCATAATGCAATCACATGCAAAACGTCATCAGGATTTCATTTTTAACTTTATTCAAATTGGTTACAATGATCAATTACATCAAATTAAAAAAAAAGATGCTAGGAAAAATTGTGTTTAATGTGATGGGAAAAGAAGATGCTTTGGTCATGACACTAATAGTACTACAATCATCACAAATAAATATGGGGAGTTAAACTGACTACTATAAAAAAATCGATATTGCAAACTAGGAATATCTACACACTACCAACCCCATATTAAGGATCGTAGACCTCATAAAACGATGGAATGGCTCTCAGATTTCCCCAGACTACGAAAGAAAACTCCACTTGGACGATTTCGACTTCGATTTGAGTAGAAATGAATTTAATCAATATTGATAACAATAACAAGTTGTGTTCCGAAATTCATTTACATCGAGAAGCAGTTTTATCCTCTACAATTTATTTAACGACTAGATACTCATTTTCCACTAATTAACAAGTCGCTACTAATGATGGAGTAATTTGGGCTAACATTTAAAGTGTGGAACGCATGGATTCTCACACTTTGTATTATCAACACCTCAAAGTCAACCCCGATCTCGCATGGCTGTGACACGAAATTCAACCTTTATAAGGAAGCTGCAAAGCAATCCGAACACTTGTCCGAATAGGAGCCAAAGTCAGCAATGTCAAAGAGCAGAAAACTCTGGAGGGGAACGCAGCGTTTACATATCGGCGCGACTCGCGGAGTAACTGGTGGGGGAGCCAACGTTAGGCTCAGACGGGTCAGAAGCTGGTGCAGGATGTTGACGTTGTAGGCTTTTGATACTGAGCGCTACTCTTCTGATTGTCGGAAGAAATTATGAACATTGCAAGCAAAATTTAATGCCTAGTTAAGAGATTATGCATGAGAAAAAAAAGAAGGCTGGCAAATGCATGCCTCAGAAAAATAACCCGCAAACCTGCCTTATGGAATAGTCGGCTTTAACGTCTGAAAAGAAGTAAAGTAAGCAACCGATACCAAACTTTCAAAATGCAAGCACCTAATCAACCATTCTGACATTTAACGGCTTTCACAAGCACCAAAAACCAGAACATTTTAGGCCAGTTTGATTTTGCCATCACTTTCGGTAAAATACCCAATAGTAATTGTGGTTTTCTACATATTTATAAAATCGCAGGTTGTCAAGGATGATACTACGAAGGTAGCTTCGAAGAAGGCACCTGTGTAAACATTAGCTGCGCCGAATACATCAGTCTCAACCATCGTGTGGCGTCAAATGAAGGGCTGTATTGTCAGTGTAGCTATATCTGGCATAAATTAAAAAGGCAAGTGAGGTATGAAGACCTTAGTACGTTAGCAGATAGCGATGAAAGGCTATTGTGTCTGAAAAGTAACACATCAGGAATTACATTAAAAAATTGAGGACTACACATGTGTTTAAGTTACGAAGGTCATTTGAGCCCAAAACGAAGGTTATGTAAGTTGTCTTGAGGGTCAATAGACGACCTTTAAACCGGAAAATCATAACATGTACAAAGTTACCCTAACAAAAGCAAGTTGTCGATAATTAAACATGGACGATAGGATAATCTGGGCACGCCCTTTTCATAGTTCATCTTTAAATAAACGGTAGTTCATTGTCGGTGTCTTATGCCCCCTTACATGGACACAGCAGAATAATAAGCACCACACACGCGAAGTACACTATAAATAAAAACTTTTACCTGTATCGCTTAATAGAAGATAAAATATCGGTTAAGTAGCTGCGTAGGTACTGGAAGAGCAACAATATTCCCTTGGAATGTACTCAGATGATGAGCAAACGCTCATTACCAGTCATAATCAAACAGCTATAAAGTTTATACATTTAACTTCCGATTACTGTCTTACTATTACTATTACTTTGTCGATCGCTTAACTCATTTGACCGTAAAAACATTTAAACACAATTCTGGACAAAACCGAAAGGGCCATGTTCATTAATAATTGACGAGTATCTACCGACTTCTGTCTTCTCCAATTAGACAACGAAGAAAAATTCAATGATGCTGTAGTGTGGCAAAAGAGCTTTTTCAAGTTCGCGACAGAACACGAAATGTAATCGATGGCAGTCGAAATTTAAGAACCATCAATAATGAAAATAGTATAAGGTGCACAGATTATCAAATAACCGATAAGAAGTTTTACTTCGTACAACGAGTGTTGACCTGCATTTTAATACAAGTACAAGGCTTGTGAAGAAAACGACAAACACAATTTTCAGAAAACACACTGCAGTTTGTTGCGTGTGTACTGTGGTATGGTGTGGTGCGGTGTGGTGTGGCGTCGGATTAGGGCGCAGACATATTGGACCACCTGGCCGCAGCCAATCCTGTGTCTCTCTGCAATCCAATGGCATGCGGGAATGGAAGGCAGTCAACCAGAGAAGGACACGACTGAGGAGCAGTATATAATGAGCGGCATGACCAGTGTGGCGGACACGGGTGGAAGGCGCCTGACGCGTGGCTCTGGCTTCTGATTGGTCAATAAAGCCTGTTCTGTTGTACCAGTCTTTTACCTATTAG